CAAAACTGGTGTATGGAGAATTTCAGTGCCTTGGCTTACATCTCTTCCAAGAACCATTGCAAGGCTGGGCCATTGTTTACAGGGAAGCAGCTGTGGGATATGGATCAAGAAGTTTATTTTTCTAATACAAGTGTCTGCTGAATTTGAACTATCCTCTGATAGTCATATCCACATTCCAATAAATTAAAGGATAGCGAACTGCATGTATTTTTCCAATTCATCTTTCCATGAGTAAAATACTTACATAGAATGTCTACACTTTTCTCTCCTTTTCCCAAATAGCACCTATAAACTATCAAACTATCAAATTACTACACTGTAATATTATTTTCTTATAGGAGAGTAAAGTTGTTATTAGGAAGTTTTATTCTTAACTGAGGAGACTGGAAGCCTTCTCTGAGTCAAATATATCCCTGCAAACACATTTGGTTTAGTGAAGGCCATATATATAAAAAGGCCACATATATATTAAAAAATCACATTTATATAATTTTTTTCTCAATGGACCTCCCACATGCAAGGCAAGTGATCTACATTAAACCAGATCCCTGCACCCTAAGAGTTAACATTTTATTTTCTTTTTAAAGTGGATACTTCTATGCAGGGAGGAGAATGTTGGATCCCCACACTCCTGGTGTGCAGGGAAATGCCATATAGGGTGCAGGAGATTGAACCCAGGTCAGCCACATGCAAGGCATGCACCTTGTTCACTGTACTATTGCTCTGCTCCCTCCCACAATTGTTTACATTTTTAAATCAAATTTCACATAAAAATCTGGATTTTCAGCTTCTTTTGGCAAAGCTCTGGCAACACTGTGTCTTACTGCAAGGAAATAATTAGCAGGCAGCTGGTAGTGGCTGCCCTCTTTAGAAAAGTATGCCATCCCATTTCCAATTGGCTATACTCCCCACCTGGCACTCTTCACCCTTTTATGTAACCTGCCTAGTCTCTACAGGCATCAGGATTGTGATCTTCTGGGCTAGGCAAACAGAAATGTGATCCACGGGCATGTGAAAGATAATCCAAGAATGACACCAGTAAAATTTCCCAACCAGACGAATGGGCCAGCAAGGAAAAAAAAAAAATGCTGTCAGATCCAGGGAAGTGTCTCTCACAGTAGAGTACATGCATGGGCCACTGACCACCACGGGACAGGTTTGCCTCCAGCAACAACAAAATGTTAGATCCAAACCCCACATTCTACAATAGGAATAAGTTCCAGATGTACCAAAGACAAATGTAAAAATTAAAGCAAAATAATTGGTAGTGTAAAAAAACCTTTCAATTACAATATAAGTAAAAGTAAAGTAAAGGCCCTCCCGTTGATCATCGATTTGCTCGAGCGGGCCCAGTAACGTCTCCACTGGAGACTTTGTTGTTACTGTGTCTGGCATATCGAATACTCTCGGTAGCTTGCCAGGCTCTCCGAGAGGGGTGGAGGAATCGAACTCGGGTCGGCCTGTTGGCTGTGTGCAAGGCAGACGCCCTACCCGCTGTGCTATCGCTCCAGCCCCCGAACAATTACAATATAAAATCTAGAATACTGCCAACTTTCATTTTTAAAAAATGTTTGGGGAAAAAAACCCACTAGTTAAGCAATAGCACAGTGGGTAGGGCATTTGCCTTGCACGAGGCCAGGTCGGCCGACAGGGGTTCGATCCCTCCGCCCCTCTTGGAGAGCCCGGCAAGCTACCAAGAGTATCTCACCCGCACAGCAAAGCCTGGCAAGCTACCCGTGACGTATTCAATATGCCAAACATAGTAACAAGTCTCACAATGTTACTGGGCCCGCTTGAGCAAATCGATGAACAATGGGAGGGCAGTGACAGTGACTTTCTAAAAGGTTGATCTCCCTAATATCTTAAGAGAGTTCCTGCAAATAAATAAGATTAAAACTGAACTGGGAGGAGCGGGAGCAAAAGTATAGTGGGTTAGGTGCTTGACTGCGGCCAACCTGGGTTCAATCTGCATTACCCCATATAGTTCTAGGAGCCCACCAAGTGTTACCCCTGAGTGTAGAGCCAGGAGTAAGTCCTGAGCAAAAAGAGGAAAAATTATATATATATAAACCAGTTCACAGAAAAGGAGATAAAGCATAAATATTCAAGACCTCAACTTACTTCATGTTTTCAAAACTACAAATAAAAATAATACTGTTATCATTTCTTACATATTTGAATACCATGGGCCAAAAAATTAGATTACATACTCTCTTGATGAGAAGAAAGGGAAAACAAGAACTCTAATATGAGAATCTAAATTGGTTCCTCCATCAAGGACAATTTGACAGTCATCTCTCTCTCAAAGCTGGAGAACCACATAACCTTTGGCCCAACAAATTCTAGAATCATGTCCTATAGGCATATTTGCTCATATATGGAATTTAAACACAGGTATTTATTGCAGCAAATTTTTTTTCTCTAGTTTTGTTTGTGTGTTTGGGGGACACACCCAGTGATGCTCAGGGTTACTCCTGGATCTGTCCTCAAGAATTGTTCTGGCAGTGCTCAGAGGACCACCTGGGAATCGAACTCACATTGGCCTCATGCAAGGCAAAAGCCCTACCTGCTGTACTATCCCTCCAGCCCCCAAGTAGCAAATTTCTTATAGTAAAACTTTGCAATTACAGCAAAAACAATACCCCCCAGAGAACCCATAAATAAACAATTCAAATGGCATCAGTAGGAATAGGGGACTAGTTCAATAAATAATAAATTCAGAGAACGAACCCCATAAAGTTATTTAAAAATAATCAGAGTAGGAGCTGGAGATATAGTATAGCCAATAGAGCACTTCCCTTGCATGCTTGCCTTGTACACTGACTAGAGTTTAATTTCCAGCATCATAGATGGTTGACTGAGTTCGCCCTCCCAGGAGTGGTCCCTGAGTATGGCCCCCAAAAAACAAAATTCAAAAAAAATAACCAGGGCATTTTGTAATATTTTCTAAAAGACACTGCAAAGTGAAAAATGCAAGGTATATACTATAGTATGCTACCACGTGTGTTAAAAATAAAGGTATCTTATTTTATTTTTTTGCTTTTTGCGTCACACCCGGCGACGCACAGGAATTATTCCTGGCTCTGCACTCAGGAGTTACTCCTGGCGGTGCTCAGGAGACCATATGGGATGCTGGGAATCGAACCCGGGTCAGCCACGTGCAAGGCAAACACCCTACCCACTATGCTATCTCTCCAGCCCCTGTTTTATTTTATTTTTTATATATACATATATATGACATTTCTGAGGTCATAAAAGATACTGATAATTTTTGTTTTCTCCAGGATAAGTACCAGAAGGCTAGAGTAGTGAGGAACACATTACTGTATAACTTGTGAACTTTCAAATCAATAAGAATGTTGAAATTGTTCAAAATATCGTTTGCTATTTCAAATAAAAATTTTCCAACATCCTTATAATATTCCCTTCAAGTGTTAAAAAATGCATTCTGATCAACACATGATACTATAAAAGGATATATGTATATGTAACAAAGAATTCAATCATAAATTTGAGTCACATAAAATTAATGCTATTTTTGATAGTCACTATGATCACAAAGATCTTATTCAACATTTCTCCCATTTACTCTGCCCTGCTTCCTCAATTTATTTCAAGCTACAAGTGCTGCCAGCCAGTAGGAAACCAAAGCAACGTCACAGGAAACAGTAAGTGTCGTTATCAACTCAGTTTCATGGTTGGCTGTTGCAGTCCCCTTGGTCCTCTCACAGTCCACCTGCCAGGAAGAGACCGGAGCAGGCACTCAGAGAGGATCATCTGTCCTAATAACACATATAAGTCTCAGATCCAGAAGCCTGACCTGCTTCTTCTAAAATATTCTCTCAAGAGGAACTTTATTTTATGAAAATCCAAAAGACTATATTATTGTGCCCTGTCCCCCCAAAACTCTGATATTTATACTTACATACATGCTGCTAGAAAACAGAAATCAGATTCCCTGGAGGGCTAGCATATGAAGATGGAACTGAGCTAAGCATACAGTGTCACTAGCACCAAACAGAAAGCCATTTGGGGGGAAAGGGAGGCATTTGGGCCACACCCAGCAATCCTCAGGGCTTACTTCTGGTTCTTTGTTTAAAAGTCATTTGCTCGGCCCTCCCGTTGATCATCGATTTGCTCAAGCGGGCCCAGTAACATCTCCATTGGAGACTTTGTTGTTACTGTGTTTGGCATATCGAATACGTCACAGAGAGCTTGCCAGGCTCTGCCCTGCGGGCGAGATACTCTCGGTAGCTTGCCGGGCTCTCCAAGAGGGGCGGAGGAATCGAACTCGGGTCGGCCATGTTGGCTGCGTGCAAGGCAAACGCCCTACCGCTGTGCTATCGCTCCAGCCTGTGTTTGAATTTACTGTTGTTTAAAAGTCATTCCTAGCAATGCTCCGGGTCTATATGTTGTGCTAGGATCAAATCAGGGTGCAAGGCAAGTGCTTTAACTTCTGTTCCATCTCTCTAGTACCAAGGAAATCCACTTTAGAAAGTAGGAAAGTGCTCAACTTTTTACTCAAAATATAATTTACACTACCTTTTTTCTTTTTTGCCATACAGCAATGTTCCAGGCTTACTCCTGGCTCTGCACTCAGGAATCACTCCTAGTGGTGCTTGGGGAAGCATATGGGATGCCAGGATCAAACTGAGGTCTGCGCATACAAGGCAAACACCCTACCGGCTGTACTATAGCTCTGGGCCCTTCTACCTTATTATTATATTATACAGAAATAAAAGTTGTTTGGTTGATTTTGTTTTTACAGAGGAAAGACCTGGCAGTTTTTGAAGTCCAGAATCACATGGGTTCCACAGGACTATCCCTAGCAATGCTAGAGAGATATGTGATAGCAGAAATCAATCTCAGGACCTTGCTACATGCCAGGTAGGTATTCTACCACTGGCATTATCTCTCTGCCCAGTTTTGTTGTTACTTTTAGTTACAGATTGGCTACTTACTAAACTTAACAATAATTCATGTTTACACGCAAAAAAAATTGAAGATTTTTTTAATAAAAATTAAAATTATGTTCACAACACCAAGAAAGTTCATTAAATAATTTTACTAATAAAATTTCCTTCTCTTTCAAAAATATACAGAATAGTTAAAATTGTATCAGCACTACACAGAAAAACCTACTGGCAAATATAAAATGTTTTACAAAGAGAGTACACATTCAAAATACTTTCAATATTTTTTTTTCACTTATACATTAGCGAGGGTGGGGGGCTATAGTACAGGCACAAATAGAATGAGGACTGCTTTAATAAGGCCAGATATTTTTATAATTTCAGTCTTTCACATCTTAGTGTACATGCAATCCGCTGATAAATTTGAGAATTGTAATATTTTTCTTCACAGTCTTGTAGTGGAATAGAAAAAGTCTTGTATGTCATATTTCCTGGAGTAATCAGTTGTTATGAAGAATCGCTAGGGCCTGGTTCTTCACGTTTGTACAGCTTCTGAACATCTGCAATACGTTCATCCAAATCAAGTAATCACCTAACATATTTACCTGCAGTGCTGCTTCTTAATATGAGTTGAGAATGAGTGGTCTTTCAAATTAATGGATGAGGTAGCTCAATCAATGTGATCATCAAGACTTAGAATGAAAAGGAAGAAAACAGAAAAGTTTTTTTGTATCAGCGAAATACACATTTTAACTCATCCCTAGAAAACACAATCAAACAAACAAATAATAAAACACACCCTCAAATAGAAGATTAATCCTGAAAGAGTGTAAGAAGTAAATGAAAATGTCTTGGTTAGATGGTGGTTCAATATTAAAAGTTTCACAATCAGAAGGCTGCTGTTTTCCACTCATATTCCCATTTTCCAATTCTATTCAGAATTACAAGAATCAGTTCAACAGATAACACACACATTGGGCATATATAATGTGTTGGAGAACAAATTATAATATTCAAAAAGGGGCTGCAGAGATAGAACAGTTGGGTAGGGCTCTTGTCTTGCATTCAGCCAATCCTTGTTCTATTCCAGCCTCTGAGCACTACCAGAAGTGATCCCTAAGTGCAAAGTCAGGAGTTAGCCTGAGCATCACTGGATATGATTCTCCCCCCACCCCCCTCTAAAAAAAAAAAAAACAGAAGATACACATGAATTTAGGGCTTACAAAAGTGAATGTCTCAGGTTATTTCCCAAAAATGAAAAAAAAAATTTCATAAAAAAGAAAAGGATCCTGGAGCCAAAGAAAGAACTCAAAACCTAGAGTGCATGCTTTGCATGTGAAAGACCTGGTTTTGAATCCTGACACTATCAGTTCCCTATAGCACCAAGGTGGAACAGCCTCTGAGCACTGTCAGGTATGACTCAAACTCTTACCCACAGGACCCCAAGAAAAAATTACAGGATTCCTAAAATACCAAAAAGACATGAATAATTAGTGATCTCAGTCAATGTTTGAGAACCTTGATATAATTAAGGAACAGAAATATGAGGTGAATCGTTTTTAATTATAGAGTTCTTTTGTTGTTTCTTCGTTTGTATTTGATTTGGGGGGCATATTCAACAGTGCTCAGGTATCACTCCTGGCCATGATCAAGGGACCATATGGGATTCAGGGGATCAAAGCTAGGTTGGCCTTGCATGCAAGGCAAACATCCTACCACTATCCTATCATTCCACCCCCTTAATTAATTCTGTATGAACTGTCAAGATTTGAAAACTTCTCTGAGAAACTATTAGTTCTAAGTTCTTTTAGTTTCTCAACCACAGAAAGCTGAAGAATGGGCAATAACTGCTCACAAAGTAGCAATGTTTACATTCAGAGTACGATTATGGATTTTAAAAAAATAATGCAATGAACACATCCTAATTTCAGAGTGTAGAGATTTGACTGCATACCTAGATCTTTTCATTATTTACAATTTAAATCGTAGTTGTACTTCATCTGCGATCATTCCAGAAATTGCAAGGGAAGAAGTAGCAGCAGGAGAAGGCGCATTTCTCACATGAAGAATGCGATTTCCAATATCCCCAACTCCTCCATCAAATATAAAATCTTCTACTAGATTTCCATTTTTATCCAAGGCTTGGGCTCTTACTCCAGCTGGACCTCTAAAAAGTAAAGGAGTAGGAGTCAACTGACTGAAAGAGATGGACAGAACAAGTCAGTAGTTTCAAAAGTATTCTGAAAACAATCATGTCTTTATTTTCTTAAATAACACAATTATGTGAAAATCCAATAGGTTTGTGTTTAGCCAGACACTGTCAGCTGTAGTTGGTAAGACTTATATCCTTGGTCTAGAGCATAATGCCTTCCCATAATAGTGCAGTAAGTACTTCTTTAATGTATCCACAAATGTTGCTTATTATAAGTATCTGTTCTTTCCAAAGGTAGCAAGTAAGCTTACATTTAGAATAAGTTATTTTACATTTAAATGCATATAATTTATTATTTAAAAAATCCATGGAAATAATGAGGCCCTCCTGATTGATACAAATCAATGATAGGGATCATGTCTGCTGCACCCCAGTAACTGCTATAGAATCCTATTTTTTGTTTTGATAATACACTATTAACATTTATAGAGAAAAACATTTGCAAATAACAACAAGTTCTTGTTTTGTCATTTTTTCCCCCAACAGTTTAGTCTTCAATATCAGGATAATCTCCAATGAATCAAGCAGAAGATGACAGGAAAAGCACAAAAAAAGAATAAATGGCAACAGGTTAATATGGCGAGAGCCTTGACTTCTTAAACTTTTGTTTTATAAGACTTAAATTTACAAATTAAATCTTTTAGTTCTTTTAATTTTTAAAGTAATTTAAAATTTATACATCAACTCAAATGTTTGTTGAAACTATTGGAGGAAAACCAATTTGAAAACGGCTACCTTATACACATCACAAATACTCAAGAAATCAGGAATCAAATATTTTTTATTCTGAGTTAAATATTTGAAGATGATATAAAGGACAATATGAGAGCACTGCCCTCTAAGATCCTGAGCTCAGTGAGAAGCAATAACAACAACAGTTATGATTTACCATGTACTTTATGAAAAAAATTCTCTGGTTTCATATTTAACAAGTCTGAGAGGCTGACTGTTTATATTTAATAACAAAGAGATGCAAAGAGATTGGTAATTTGCCTCTAGTTACACAGCTACACTTGCATTTGTAGACAGGTAAATCAGAATTACAAGTGTAAAAGTCTGTAAAAAAATTAATAAATAAGGGGGCATCCCTCCTCCCCCCCCCCTCACACACACACACACACTCTCATTCTATTCATAATTTTTGTTGTTTTGGGGCCCTACTTGGTGGTGCTTAGGCTTCCTCCTGGCACTGTGCTCAGAGATCACTCCTGGCCATTTCAGAGAACCTAATGTAGTCCCAGAGCTCAAACACAGGTACACTACAAGCCAGGAAAGCACTCTACACTCTATCACTCTCCCACTCTCCCATGTTCTCCCTTGAATACATAGTCCTCTCTTTCCTCTCACACTTCTCTAAGTAAATGTCTTTTTTTTTTTTAATTTTTATTAGTGAGACACCATGAGATATGTTGTAGACTTAAAAATTTTTGTGCTTGGGTTTCAATTATACAATGATCAAATACCCATCCCTCCACCAGTGCCCATTTCTCACCACCACGGATCCCGCTATCCCTCCCACCCCCCAACTCCCCATCCCAGGAGGGGAAAAGAAGGGAGGTAGGGGCGGGGAGAGGAGGGAAGGAGGAAGGGAAGAAAAGGCTAAGTATCTGCCATATAGAAGCTTCCTGGGAATCTGTTGTAAGGAAACTTCTAAGTTGTAAGATTTTAAGATAAGAATCAGATACGATTAGGGCACAAAATGATGAAAGAAACTATGTTGAAATTTTAGGGAAAAATACATGTGGTTGTATTAGCCACTATGTGGGCCATTTTGTAGTTATCTCAACCCAGAATTTTTGCTCCTTCTTGGAGAAAATTTTTTGCTCCTTCTTGGAAAATGCTGCTACTGCTGTAGCAGTGTCTATGAGTTTTTCTTGTCCTACTATCTGGCAGAAGACCAAGGTGTTTGGGGTGCGTAATTACAGGAACAGCCACTGATACTATACAGAGGTGGTTTTTTTGTTTTGTTTTGTTTTTAGTGCATCAACCTTACTCCTAAGCAGATGGATTTACTATTGTTTAATGTTGAAAATATCTATACTTATTTCCCTACACCACTAGTAATGTTATCAATGTTCCCTACAAAGTAAAGTAAAAGTAAAGTAAAGGCCCTCCCATTGATCATCGATTTGCTCGAGCGGGCCCAGTAACGTCTCCATTGGAGACTTTGTTGTTACTGTGTCTGGCATATCGAATACGTCACGGGGAGCTTGCCAGGCTCTGCCATGCGGGCGAGATACTCTTGGTAGCTTGCCGGGCTCTCCAAGAGGGGCAGAGGAATCGAACTCCGGTTGGCCATGTTGGCTGCGTGCAAGGCAAACGCCCTACTGCTATGCTATAGCTCCAGCCCTACAAAGTGTTCAAAAACTATAGCCTAGACTACAAAAGTAACATGATATCATTTTTCAAGGTCCTCACTTTAGTTCACAGCCAAAAGTATCTATTTAACATGTACTGCTCACACTACCAAATTATTCACTTCACAAAACTTCAGAAATTGTTTTCGCATGATTACACAGCAGCATCCTTTCTCAGCTCCTCAGCATATCTGCTTGCAATTTAATCTAAATTTTTTTTTCTTTTTTGGGTCACACCCAGCGGTGCTCAGGAGTTACTCCTGGCTCTGCACTCAGGAATTACTCCTGGCAGTTCTTGAGGGACTATACGGGATGTTGGGAATCGAGCCCAGAATACTATGTCTCTGGCCCCTAAAGCTAGAAACTTTTTTGTTTGTTTGTCTCTTTGTTTGGGGGCTATACCCAGTATGGATCAGGGATCTTCTGGCAGACTCAGGGGGCCATATCGGGTGCCCAGAATCTAGCCAGGGTAGGTCACTGGCAAGACAAGCACCCTGTCCACTGTACTATCACACTGTCCCCTAAGGCTAGAAACTTTTTCATGTTTCAACTTCTAATAGATTTAAAAGTAGCATTTAAAAAAACAAGTTCAGCAAATTTAATCTGTATTAATTCAGCTGGATTTAATTCTTGGTGCCATTTGTAATTTGCTATTATTATCTGTAGCTAAATTTAATAGGGACATACATCTGAAACCCTTAAGTATGTCTAGAAACAACAGGTGAATAAGGAATAATGACTTGCATTCACCAGTGAAGTGCTCTCATGGCTCTACTGTTCTGTGACAGACAAAATCCTGTGGTCTGGAAAATAGCTTTGACAATGTACATGAAACTTTTTTTCACAAGCTCCAAATAGAACAATTTACTGTTTTAGTATTATAACTCATCATAAAAACTAATGTTAGTGGAGTTCATGCCCAATTCAATTAGCTAATCAGTGGCTGAATAAATAGCAGTACTCCTACATTAAAAAAAAACTAATGTTAAATCTAAAGATTAGATGTTCACATAAACATATTTAAATTGGGAGTGATGGTATGGGGAAATAAAACAATCTGAATTCTAAAACAGGTGGGAAGTGTATTTTTGTCACTAATTTTCAAACTTAATTTCAAGAGAATATGTGTTTTTCTCTGCCCAATTTTCTGAATTTTGTTGAGAACTTTGTTTAGGGCATAGAACATTTTGAGCCTTAGCTCTTTTGTGAGGTCTTAAAAAATATGAAAAGTCCACAATGGGAATGGGGAAGTCCTAAATCACCATTTCAACATAATCATTAAACCAAGTGCTTGAACTGTGCCTTTGAAAATTTCCTAATATTTATTTTCTTGTTCTATCTTCTATCAACAAACTTGTCTTAAAATTATCCGTCACAACTGGAGCAAGAGAGATTGGATAGTGAATAAGACGCTTGCCTTGCATTCAGCCGACCAACCTGATGCAGCACCAAACATGGTCTTCTGAGCCCAGCCAGGAGTGATCTCTGAGCACAGAGCCAGGAATAAGCCCTGAGCACAGACAAATGTGGCCAAAAACTAATAAATATATATATATGTAAAAATTATCCATCACAATAGGAGACTTGTTCTGCTTGAACTTACTCAGCTCTCGTACCCTATATTTTACATATATTTTGTCTTAAGTATGTTTTACCTGATGGTCAGGTAAAACCTACAAGATGGTCAGACTTCTTCATCAAGACCCTAAATGATTGGTTTGAGGCTCTGCATGTTCCTAGAACGAACAGATACCATTGGGCTATGCTAGCACGCAACCGGGATGAATGGAGACGTTACTGGCACCCGCTCGAATAAATCAATGAATAACGGGGATTAAGTGATTAAGTGATGTTTTACCTGAAATGGACCCAATATCATCTTTCTTCAATAAGTGTTTGCCTAGCACATAGATATCTGGAGTAAGGGGTGCTATACTCTGGCTAGCTGCTGGAGGGTGGATCCCCACGGTGCTCAGAGAATGTGATCAGTCAAAGGCAGAACACCAAAGTTAGTGATTTGAATCTACATTTTGATAACCATATTTTTCATTTCTAGAAATCATAATTGGATGGTTTCCTTATTTGCCTAGTTTTACATATAGCCAACTTTGGTTTGAAACCCAGTACTGCATATGAGCACCAAAAAGTAAGTGAATTCTCCCCATTTTTTCAGGGTATCAGCAGACTTTGTCTAGGATTTCAAATTCCTTTCTTTTTTTTTTGGCTAGGATGCCCTACTGCATATTACATACTCATATATATGCATATATATACATGTGTATTTCAAAATATTTTGATTATGTTTTCTCCAGATTGTCTTGGTATTTTGTAGTGTGAATTACCAAATTCTCTAGACAGTATCTCTCGACAAAGGGAGATTTTGCCCCCTAGAGGACATCTGGCAATGTCCAGTACTATTACTGGTTGTCACACCATAACCAGAGAAATATTACTGGCCCCTAGTTGGTAGAAGCTAGGAGAGTTATAAAACATTCTGCAATAGCTGGACAGTCTCCCACTACAAATAATTATTTGGTTCCCAAAATCAAAAATGCCAAACTGACAAATCCTGATCTAGATCACCTTTATTGCAGGGATTATTTGTTTTGCTCCTCTGCATTTCACACTGACATGATATAGTTATCATTCAGGATGAAAAACTTTGCCTGATAATTTACTCTAGAATCATCCAAATAAGTCATCTTTAAAATCAATTTAAAAAAATGAGGGAATCTTGGTATATATGGTGGACATCTACAATCTTTTACATCCTAACGTGGTGAACAGAGCACACAGCTGTGAGAATACCATGTCAAAATTAATCAAGAATAAGTCAAAGGATGCTAGAGCTAAAATTAAGAATCTTAGAGTCATTTAACAATGAAAAATTTGTATACCTAATTAATGCAATAATTTTTTAAAATTATAACTTTATATCACAGTCTAATGTTCATCAGTAACTTTTTTTGTGTGTTATTTTTTGGGAGGATAGGCTACACCCAGGGATGCTCAGAGGTTACTCCTGGTTCTGCATTTAGGAATTACCATGGCAGTCAGTGCTCAAGGGACCACATGGCATTCCGGCATTCCAGGTCAATCACATGCAAAACAAGTGGCTTACCTGCTGTACTATCTGGCCGCTCATTAGTAATTTCTTGCCCAGTATGCTGTGGCGAGGCAATGAAAAGTCAAGGCTGAATGGTCTTTCATGAGCTCTGCAGTTTGGACTCCATTTTGGGAAAAACAAGCCACTGAAAGTGTTGTTTTGGGGACTAGAGAGATAGCACAGTGGGTAGTGTGCTTGGTTCCCATGCAGCCAACCCGGGTTCAATGCCTGGAACCTCATATAGTCCCTGAGCCTGACAAAAGTAATCCCTGAGAAAAAAAGTCAGGAGTAAGCCCTCAGCACCACTGGGTGTGGCACAAAAAATTGCCCTGGTCCTCTTTCATGATACAGTACTGCTTAATTCGCTGACTCAATATTAACAACAGAGCACCTATGGTTTTACTAGGCTGCAAGGTAAATGAAGCAAGGTGAGGCTTGTGCTTCTAACTATGGGAAAGTCTCCTAATTTTATTTTATTTAATATTTCAGGTATACTCTTGGTAGCTTGCCAGGCTCTCCAAGAGGGACAGAGGAATTGAACCCAGGTTGGGCCGCATGCAAGGCAAACGCCCTACCCACTGTGCTATCCCGCCAGCACGGCCGAGCCTGGCAAGCTACCCATGGCATATTCGATATGCCAAAAACAGTAACAAGTCTCACAATGAAGATGTTACTGGTGCCCGCTCGAGCAACTAGATGAACAATGGGAGGACAGCATTACCATGCTATTTCAGGTATACACCATGGTACTAAGAATAGTATAATTAATCCTTCCTCCCTCCCTCTTTTTAAAAACTGAATAGTTTAAGAATAAAGCATTCCTGGATCCTGAGTGATAGTACAGTGGGCAGGGTATTTGCCTTGCACACGACTAAACTGGGTTTGATTCTTGGTCCCCCCATATGGTCCCATAAGCCCCCAAGGAGTGATACAGAGCAAGAGACAGGAGCAGGAGTCAGCCCTAAGTAGTGCCAGTGGTGGCCCCAAAACAAAGAAGAATAGAGAAAGCATAACATAAAGCCCCCACCCTCACGGGGCTCATTCATGTTTCTTTCCAGAGGTTACTAACTACTTTCCAAAACTGAGTGTTCATCACTCACACGCTGGCTTGGTTTTCTATTGCATGTATGATGCAATGGAAAAGCATTATTTAATACATGTCTTGCTCCTCTGCATTTCACACTAACATGATATAGTTATCATTCATGATGAAAACATTTGCCTGATAATTTATTCTAGAATCCCCCCAAATTACTTCATTTTAAAAATCAATTTGGAAAAAATGAGGGAAGCATTATTTAACACATATAAGTGATATCAAAATGTCATCTACCTCTTTCTTTCTGTCACTGATCACTTCCTACATTGACAGCTGTAAGAATCCAGGAAAGAGAAAGCAATTGCCAAGTGATTTCAGCTTCTCTAGCTCCAAGAAAAATCATCTGCAGTTAGGTTGAACTTGTTCCCAAGTGCATCTGCTTACAGTAATGTGGGCCCACTTCTACTACAAAGTAATAACACTGATAACTGAATTCACACCCTTACAATCAGACTCAAACCCACAAATCCCAGTCAAGTACTATCTTATGAAATCCAACAGTCAGCCTTCTATGAAAAGTTGATAAGTGTATCTGGAGAGTGAGCTCAAATAAACCATTTATACAGAGCACTCACTATGCCCACTTAGTGTGTTTCTCAAGGAATATTAATAGCAGTAACAGAAACCAGATTTGACCAATCCGTTTTCAGGTATAATACATAATAAGCCTGCTAAAGTATACCACTGAAAACATAAAAGCTTTCATTATTGACAAATGAAAGAAATCAAGGCCTAGATATTTTTATCCCTTCCATTTCAGAATGTGAGAAGAGTAAGGGCGTTACCAATAAAAGCACTGGCTGGGTTCTCAGTCTTTCTAAGGATCCACAGAGGTTACTCCGATAATAATACATTAGTCAGATTCAGACGAGGACAGTCCCCTAAGGGAGACAGCTGACATGGTTACTGTTCTCTTCACAGATACACTGTCAAGACTACGGACACTTTATACCAGGCAAGTTTCAGCAGCTGTTATTGAGGAGACAGACACTTAGTCCCTAGGGATTAATGGAGGGATGGATTAAAGCAGAAAGAGTAAATGTACATTAAAGTACAGTGCTGATTGGACCTAAGAAGGAATGGCTTGTTCAGGGGGAAAACAAGGCACACACCCCCAAAATATTAACAAGAAAAAATAAAATAGACTTGGATGCATTTAGAAATAATATAGACCAAGTCCAAAATGACTTTTAAGAAAAAAATATTTTAAAAGTTACCTTTCCCTTGCTTTATGCCCCAGTCATCAAGGACTTAGACTCTTACTTCTGCCCTTCTGTTTGATTGTGAGTGGGGCAGGGGAAAAGAATGGATAAAATAAGTACAGAGAAAGCAAAGTAGGATGCCAGGTAGGGATCTGCAACATAGGGTACATGCCTTGCAAGTGTGAGGCCCTGGGTCTGATCCTTGGAACTCCCCCCAAATATGCCAGGTATCAGAAAGTGTTTCCAAAAGTTTTAAGAATGATTCAAAACACAATGTCTTGCTGAGTTTAGCTTCTATAAGATTAAGCTGGTAATTGATGATCTTACGTAGAATTAACATTAAAAGATATCATGTCACAAGAGTTAATGGCCAGAGAGATTTTTTTTTTAATTTCAGAAAAAAAAATTTTGAGGGGGTACCAGGAATCAAACCCAAGGTATCATACATGTAAATCATACATTCTACCACTGAGGTACATCCCAGGACCTCTGGCAATACAAATGACAGACAAAGAAGTGAAGGTGGCCTGACATTGTACAGCAACAATCACTTTCAGTGTAATGGCTATGGTAGTCTAGCTCAGTGTTTCTCACCTTTTTTCCAACTGTGGTATCCTTCCAACCTATTTCCTTCCTGTGATCCTCTTCCCATCACTAGCCCCCTTGTTTTATGCCATGATCCCCTTTTTAAACCATCTTTCCCTGTGCCTTCCCTGGAATATCCCACAGGGCACCATATGGTTCCCCGCTGAGAAACAATGGGCAAGATAATTGAAGTTGTATCAGTTCAAGCACGAAGTGTCCTGAAACAGGTTTTCCCAAAATACACAGGGCAACAGGCACTCAACAGCTCACTGAAAAAGTGAGCATCCCCAGATTCAAGTGATTTTTCAAAGTGTGCTTAGGATTCACTATCCAGTCAGATTTTCCTCCCAAGTTCACCAGGGCATGGCTGCATTTATGATCAGCATGGCTTTTCCCTACCTTATGATATCACTGAGAGCAATCTCAGGGATAAACTTTTGAAGTTGCTTCACTGTTGCACTGAGAAAACAGGCTTTATACATTTCGTTTATGCCATAGGAGAAATGCTGGGACACCAATTTCATCAAGCCACTGAAGAAGTAAAAAAAACATCTTAACAAGAAAAAGAACATCTTCCGTACTACAAAATAACTTTACAACTATTAAGAGTTTTTTTCAGATGCAGCATCCCAGAAATTTAGACAAAATCAGAAAATCAACTCTTGGTTAACATAAACTCTTGGTCAATATAAAAAGAAACTTCATCAAAGGAATGCCTACCAAATAAAGTGTGATTTTATAAAAACAAAACAAAAAATAAGCCTCCCAACAGCAAGACTATCTAATGTAAATGTTATATATCTCCCACATATCTAAAAGGCTTTAATTTTTTTTTAATTTACACTTTTAAAGCAATTCTGTGTTAATATGTTTTGGAGTTTACATAGAATAGGTAAGGCCTACATATGCAAATTTTCCCCCTTACACCACTCTATACAAATACTGTGGTTTACAAAGTCATTCATGATGATTTGTTATAGGCATTCAATATTCCAACACCAATCCCACCACCATTACAACTTCCCTCCACAATTGTCTCCAATTTTCTCAAAAACTTCTTAAGTCTGCTCCCACAGCAGGCCCTCAAAAATTTATTTTATATTGTTTGTTATCAAGAATTTGCTAATAGAATGATTAAAAAATTTTTTCTTAGAAGAAAGCTAGTGAAAATTTTTGTATCTCACCATGGAGCCATTAAGTCCTTGTATAAGAGATTACTTGTTATAGGTTAAGCCTAATGTGTTTATGTTTTGTAACAGGCTTTGACTCTTGCAGAGCTTTAAAATTAGGGAATTAAACAAGTACAACAGCTACTATACTTTACCTCTTTTTGGTTTCATGGAGCCATGTTATGGTGCTTGGGAGCTCAGGGGATGATATAGTGTCCAGGATTAACCCAGGCCTCCTGTGCTAAAAGCTTGATGTCCTTGACCTTCGAGCTATCTCTTTGTCCTACTTCCTTTCCTCAGGAAAAGGTAACATGTCTTAGTAGGGATTTTTAAATATCTAACTGCAAAGCCTGTCTTTTTACAAGCACACATACTGAGAGGCCATATCCTACACCTTCTATCTCCAGATCTGTGGAGGGTGAAACCCAATATGGCCCTAAAAGCTTTCTGGTGGTTTTGATGTGAGGCTCTCTGGAGAGCAACACTTGTGAAAGGACCTAGTAAAATACCTCCTGAGTTACAATTATGCATCTTAGGCCAACAAAATAGCATTGTTCATTTTCCATAAGAGGAAACAACTTTGGTTATCAGCAATGTCTCCCAGGGGTTACAAAATGATGGGGACCAGCTTGAAATAATCTTATCAAAATAAACCATCTACTGATTTTTTTTTAAGTTTTTATTTTTTGGGTTTTTTTTTTTTTTTTTGGTTTTTGGGTCACACCCAGAGATGCTCAGGGGTTACTCCTGGTTCTGCATTCAGGAATTACTCCTGGCGGTGTTGGGGGACCTTATGGGATGCTGGGAATCGAACCCAAGTCAGCCACATGCAAGGCAAATACCCTACCATTGTACTATAGCTCCAGCCCCCATCTACTGATTTTTGAGAGAAACTTTTAAACATAAAAATAACTAAAAGGTTAACAAAACAAGTCTTGAATGTGTCAGATACACGACTGGTCTTTGGTCTTGTTCCTGCTTTTAAAATAGAGATTTACAATTTGACTTATCTCCCTTTCCCTTTCTTTTATTGTTGCTGTGATGGCCACTGGTCACTCTTGGTTGCAAAGCTTGTACACTGATCCTGTTCTTTTTTGGTTTTCCTTTGGGGGGGGGTCATCACACCCAGTGGTTTTCGAGGCTATGCCCAGTGAAGTTCTCAGGGTAATGTGCAGTGCTGGAGATAGAACATGGGGCTCTGTCAGCAATGTGGAGCACTCCAGTTCTGTGGACTATCTCCTTTGCTCCAACTGGCATCTGATTATTATTTTATTAGTTTGGGGGCCACATCAGTAGTACTCAGGGGTTACACCTAGCTCTGCACTCAGGGATCACTTCCGGTGATGCTCAGAAGACCATATAGGGTGTCAGGGGTCAAACTCAGGTTGGCTGCATCCAAGGTAAGCCCTTACCTGTTGTACTATCTCCCTGGCCCCAATCTTCATTCTATTTCAACTAAGATATGCTGGCTCATAAGAACTTTCTGGAAGTAGTTAAAACAGTTAAGCTTTTACTTTTTTGTTGTTTCTGTTTTTTGCCACACTTGGTGATGATGCGGAGTTACTCCAGGCTCTGCACTCAGGAATTACTCATGACAATGCTCAGGAGACCATATGGAATGCTGGGGATTGAAACCTGAGTCAGTTCTGTTTAAGACTGCACCCTACCTGCTATACTATCTCCTTCCCCCCTGAGCTCTTACTTTAGACTAATAAATCAATATACCAATGACAAACACAAGGATTTAACCAATAAGCAGAATATTAAGTTTAAATTTCCTACATTAAAAATACAACCACATAAAATATTTCTCGAGAGCAAATAAAGTCTTTACCTCTTTATGACTGCATCCATAACATCTCTGGCACTGAAGTCAAAGGGTTTATAGCCCTCTCGTTTAAAGGCAAGAACTGCATTAGGTCCTAGCCAAATACTGCCATCCATCTTTGGGGTGAAGTGAACTCCAAGGAAAGGAAATCGGCTATCTGGGACCTAGGAATTTTACACAGCAAAGAATTATATGCACTGTATCATTGATGGAAACATTCAGCTGGGAATGTAAAATACTTTCTTCCTCTGTTTCAAATATGCATTACATTTGGTCTGTTACTTAGCTTAGCATTTCCATATTTTTGCTTAGAAATCTCACAGAGGAAACACAGTGCTATCGACACTAATGGACACTGTCCAATTCATCCCTCTTTCTGGAGAAAACAAAACAAAAAAAGAAATTTTAAAAAAGAAAGAACCGTTATCTTTTTGCAGATTTTTCTGTGTCCGCCCCCTCCCCATAAATTCCCCCTGGCCAGTGATGTATGTGGCTAGCAAAAACAATCTGAGCTGCCACAGAGAAGCATGTGACTATTCTATCAGCAAAGATATCTACTGAGTGTAATGTATTAGGTTGAAGCTGATGTTTTTTAGCAAAGTCAAAAAAAAAAACATTAAATAGCTGAATAGAGGCAACCATATCTGGTTAAACCTGGCAGCTCCTGAGAGAAGAAAAAAATCTTCATTTTGATAGTGAAGAGACCACCAGGAAAATAAAAGCTGAGAATGATCACATTGGACAGTATCTGAGGGTTAAAAGTAGGTAAAGGGACATTCTTGATAACCTTTCAGTATCAATATTGCAAACCACAATGCCCACAAGGAGAGAGGAGAGAAGAGAGAGGAGAGAGGAGAGAGAGAGGGAGAGAGAGAGAGAGAGAGAGAGAGAGAGAGAGAGAGAGAGAGAGAGAGAGAGAGAGAAAAGAAAAATGCCTGCCATAGAGGCAGGCTAGGGGTACAGGGTGGGGGGTGATGGGAGGGAACCTGGGGACACTGGTGCTGGGAAATGTACAATAATGGAGGGATGGTGTTGGAATATTGTACGACTGAAATCTAATCATGAACAGCTTTGTAAGGATCTATCTCACAGTGATTCAATGAAAAAGTTTAAAAACTAAATAGTTCTATCTTTCACAAAGAGTGGAAGGGAGAAGGCACAAACAAGAAGCAGCAAGGACAGGTTAGGGGATTAGGGTGCAAAGGTGGTATTAAGAATGAAAGAGTCAGGGGCTGGAGTGATAGCACAGCAGGTAGGGTGTTTGCCTTGCACGCGGCCAACCCAGGTTCGATTCCCAGCATCCCATATGGTTCCCTGAGCACCACCAGGGATAATTCCTGAGTGCAGAGCCAGGAGTGACCCCTGTGCGTCGCTGGGTGTGACCCAAAAAGCAAAAAAAAAAAATGATAGAATGATAGATTTGATATCCATCAAATATCCACACCACACAGTCAACAACACTGAAATCAAGAGACCCAAACTTTAGCAATCAAACTTAGAAAGATGCCTATCAAGAGGGCAGGCTGGAGTGAGGTGGGGCGAGGAGGAAACCTGAGAGCATTAGTAGGAGGGAAATTGACACTGGTGGTGGGATTGGTGCTGCAATAACACATGTCAAAAACTCAACTATGAATAACTTTGTAAATCATGGTGCTTTAATAAAATATTAAAAATCACAAGAAGAATCAAATAAGTGATAATATTTAATCATTTAGCAATTATTAAATTCCACCTCTCTTTCACAGTATGGAACCAGAGTGACCACATTCCCCTTTTTGCACCTCCAGATAATGAACTGAGAAAAAGGACTAGGTTCCTACAGAGAAGAGTTTTCTCTGAGTGCTTCTTCCACCAAAAACAAGGCAGAATCAGGTTTTTCTTAAAAATTCCTTCCCAAGGTATTCTTTTCATACTCATATATTTTGGAGACATGCCATTGTCCAATAATTATAATTTAATGATTATGATATTGGAGCAAAGATTTAGGACTTTTTTTTTGCTTCTTGGGTTACACCCGGCGATGCACAGGGATTACTACTCCTGACTCTGCACTCAGGAATTATTCCTGGCAGTGCTCAGGGGACCATATGGGATGCTGGGAATCGAACCCGGGTCGGCCGCATGCAAGGCAAATGACCTACCCGCTGTGCTATCACTCCAGCACCAGATTAAGGACTTCAACCTTAAGAGAAACAGGTTACTGGTATAAAAAAGTTTTTCAGAATTCTCCAACTAACGATTCCCTCCCTCTCCCCCCCCCACACATACACACACATTTTTGTTTCATCCCCTTTTTCACCCAAAATCATCTTGAGAAGGGCAAGAAAGCAGAAGCACTATTACTGACCGGGTAAATATTTCCTTTTACAAGATAGCATTTTTCTGGTTTCAACAGCAGGTAATCTCCCCGGAATGGAACAATTTGGGGATCCGGATTGCAACCACTCAACTCCGAAATCCGGTCTGAGTAAAGTCCTGCACATGTCACAACATACTGACATCGAACACTCTCTCCCTGCAGCAACAAGAGACAATGGGGATTTGACTGAGGGAAAAACAACAAGGGCACAAATACTACTTTCAAAAAAATTCCTTTTAAAAGAGATACAATAAAATAGAAGCATCAACAAAATAAGTCATCATGCTAAGTGGCATGAAGACACTTAGAGAAGTGACATGCAAGAAGGTATCACTTAAAATTTTGTACTTTAGAGATAAAATGGCTGAACTGACAAGGACACTTTTAAGAGAGACAGACAGACAGACACACACACACACACACACACACACACACACACACACAATTTCTCTATTTCACTAGTACCTAGAATGGACCTTCCTGACTACTAGTTGCATGGCAAGAAGCATACTTGACGTAGTTGGTTCCCATTAGTTTACCTTCTTTGTATTTCACACAGCCTCTCCTACCTTATCTAGCAGTAGTTACCACACACCCAGATTGCTTCATAAAACCACAATTGAATAATTTTGCTCCATTTCAACTATAACATACCCACCAACCAATTTCACTTTTCTGATCAATACATAATTTGCAAATTGAGGATACCTAAGAAACATTAATTTAATGCACATTCAACACATGCTGTAGAAGCTTGCTTTCTTATTCGGGAGGAGAGGGTTTTAGGCTATATCCAGTGGTGCTCAGGGGCTACGATTGGCAATGCTCAGGGGTCCATATGTTGGCACTAGGGCTCAAACTGGAGTTGCTTATATATAATGGAAGCACTTTCACCCTTGTATTATTTCTCCAGTCCCAGGTTTGCTTTAATGACTAGAAGACTGCTAATCTTAGATGATTGTGTTTTCCCATAAATTTTATTTTGTGATTAAAATCTGCATAATTTTTAGCTTTACCCTCCCGGGGTTCACTTGTCTGTCACTCTATTTCCAGTATAATTTAACTCTTACCACACTCTAATTTTCATCTCCTTACTTCTTCAAAGTAAACAACTAACCCTTATTCTAGGTAAATTTTTCACCTTTTTGCCTCACTACTCTCTCTTTTCCCTTTCCCTGCCCTCCCGACCCCACTTCTCCAGAGAGAGAGATGAAAACATGTGAGAACAATGTGAGAAAGCAGCCATCTATAAACCAAAAGAAAAGACCTCACCAAAACCAACCCTGATGACACCTGATCTCAGACTTCATCTCCAGAGCTGTGACCAGTTCATTTCTGCTGTTTAAGCCCCCCAATCTATGGAGATGTGCTATGGTAGTATGACAAGATTGATACACGCATCTCTATCATTTCTCCTTTACGAGACAGTTTCTCATGTATGCTGAGAATGTCAATAGATACTTGGGCCATGATACTTCATTATTATGGGGGCCTCTCCCCTCTGCTGAAGAACGTTAACAATATCCCTCACTTCTACCCACTAAATGGCAGCAGCAATGTTTCCCTCTTTCAGTGTGACAAGCAAAAATGTCTCCAGCTACTGCCAACTGGCCTGAGAAGGAGGCAAAAATTAAATAAGGTTAATAGGATGCCAAGTTGGTTAAGCTGGTTAAGCTGGGGCCTATGCTTGACAGAATTGCCCTACCTGTACAGTTCTAAGTGAAAGTTGAGCAAATAAAAAAAATGCACATGAGCTGAAATAAAAATAGCTACTATACTTTGAATGTCATTCTAGTATGATATGGTGAAAAATATCCACTGTCAAGAGAATTACTACTCCATGCCCAGCTCTATTTCCCCACTACTAATTTTATGGACCAGAATTTGTTGTTTAGAGCTGACACAGAGGCAAACACACCCTTGGATGTCGTCATGACTTGTTTGTAGTCCCATGTTAGAAGGGGGATATACTTGGTTTCTCAGGTTGGTTGGCAAACCACAAACACCCCTTCTGGGTCTTTTTTTCCCTAGCCCCTCTCACCATTATGTAAGAATTAACACCTGCAATAAGTTCCAAAACACTTGTTAACACTCACCACTGCCACACTGACAGAGCACAGTTATGAACTTAGTGACTGTGATGAGCATGGCCACGTGTGGCCCCCAAACAAAAGAAACAAAAAGAATATTTACCTTTGTATTCCTTATAACAACTGGATATTTCACTCCTGAAAAAAAAATTAGCAAAAGATTGGGAGAACGATTCAGACAGTCCATATCTTAAAAACTTGTCAAGGTAGAATAAGTCCATTCTTTCTCCTTTTCCCTTCCAAATATTCCAAGAGCAATCCGAAGGCTTATAAATCATTTGCTGACAAAGTTAATAGTCCCCAAACAAAGACAACAAATCCAAAGTGCCATCTGCAGTAGGGATGGTGTCAGAGGGGGCCACCAGGGGTGGAGGGAGTTCAATCTGAGTCTTGCTCTCTCCCCCCTCCTAGACAGATTCTAAGATCAATAGGGTGATATTAAATCTGCAATTTAAACACATACCCCAAGGGGTTGTGATTCTAATCTGAAAGGCAACCAGGAAATATTTAAGGATTCATTTTTTCATAAACAATCTCAGCAGTTCAGATTTTTTAGTACCAGGCAGAAGTGCCCAACCTGTGCCTGCTTCTAGTCATCCCTACAAGAAGCTCCAGAAATCCCACTTCCTGCAGGTCTGTTCACTCTCTCCCCTCCACTCCACTCCATACCTGTCTCCACCTCTGTCCTGACTCTGGCCTCACTCCTAGTGGTAACTTGACAGCCCCATGCCAGACACAAACAGCGCCAGGGTTGTTTTTTGTTTTTGTTTTTGTTTTTGCTTTTTTAAGTTAAGTATTCAAAAGAAAGGCAGGGATGTCTTACCATCTTCACTGCTTGAAGGATTCTCTTTAGTCATTTCAATTTCCTTTACTTCAAAATTGGTCAAGACAGAACCACCTGCTTCTTGAAAATCCCGGGCAAATGACAAAGCCACCTGACGATAATCCACAATACCAGTATATGGGCAGTCAATAGCCATTAGGCCCTGGGACAGCATTATGGGGGGAAAAATTAAGACAATTACACTTACAATCATAGAGTAGAGTTTCACGGTCACGATCACGGTCCTCCCGTTGTTCATCGATTTGCTCAAGCGGGCCCAGTAACGTCTCCATCGTGAGACTTTGTTGTTACTGTGTTTGGCATATCGAATACGTGACGGGTAGCTTGCCAGACTCTGCCGTGCGGGCGAGATACTCTCGGGAGCTTGCCGGGCTCTCCGAGAGGGGCAGCAGAATCGAACTCGGGTCAGCCATATTGGCTGCATGCAAGGCAAATGCCCTACTGCTGTGCTAAAATAATAAACTTTGGGGCGGGCCTGACTTTTCTAATGGGGGAGCAGATAACCAGGGACTGGACCAAGGTCCTCCACATGCAAACCATGTGCTCTAGCACTAAGCCATAACCCAGCCCTTTACCATTTGTTCTGGGGCTGGGGGGTGACACACCTAGGTGATGTTTGGGGCGGTATTCCTGGCTCACTTCTCAGGGGATCATGCAGTGTCAGGAATCGAACCCAGGACTCACATGCAAAGCATGTACTGTAGTGCTTTGAGACATCTCCCCTGCCCCCTTACTGTTTATTTTGAGAGATAATATACATTGATTCTGTTGAGACGGAAGCGGTCATTGAAGCCCTAGCCAATCAGGGCTTTCAAGCCCAATACATCAGGATCCTCCGTGAGCTGTATTGCGGATTCACTACCAGGATCTCACCATTCTACAAAGAAGTGATCGTTGATGTCAAGAGAGGGGTGCGGCAGGGTGATACCATTTCACCGAAACTCTTCAGTGCCACCCTCGAGAACATCATGCAACGACTGGAATGGGAAGGAATGGGAGTGAAGATAGATGGTCGGCAACTACACGACCTCCGCTTTGCTGATGACATTGTTTTAATAACACCAAACATCAGCCAAGCGGCACAAATGCTGGCCGACTTTGACAGTGAGTGTGGAAAGGTAGGACTACAGCTGAATCTTACGAAGACAATGTTTATGAGAAACAGCCTCGTTCCTGACGCCCCATTCGCTCTCAACGGAACGACCATCTCCGAATGCAACAGCTATGTGTACCTAGGTCGAGAGGTCAACATGACAAATGACCTGGCACCCGAGCTGCGCAGGAGGAAGAGAGCGGCTTGGAATGCCTTCTATTGTCGAAGAAATAGCTAAGAGGACGAAGAACCTCCGGCTCCGGGCACATCTCTTTGATTCCTGTTCTTCCTGCATTAACATATGCCTCAGAGACCTGGGCCCTACGAAAACAAGATGAGAATGTTATTCAGGTCTCCCAAAGAAGAATAGAAAGAGCTATGCTTGGAATATCACGTTTCACTCAAATGAGAGAAAGAATCCGGAGTTCTGACATCCGTCGACGATCAAGAATCAGGGACCCTGTCTCATTTGCCAAGGTGTCGAAAATCAGATGGGCTGGTCACGTAATGAGATTTAAAGACGACCGCTGGACTAGAGCTGTTACTGACTGGATTCCACGGGATGTCAAAAGACCACGTGGCTGCTCACCTACCAGATGGTCAGACTTCTTCCTCAAGATCATGAACGATCGGTTTGAGGTCCTTCATGTTCCCGGAGTGAACAGATGCCATTGGGCTACACTAGCACGCGACAGGGACAAATGGAGACGTTACTGGCGTCCGCTCGAGCAAATCGAAAGTTAAGTGATTTTTTTTAAGTGATCCCATCTTGGCTAAAATCCTAGTCTTAAAAAAGTGAAGTAAAAGCTTGCTCCATTAAGTGCTGGAAGTTGATATTAAATACATACATATGATGTACTGGGACTCCACGCCAGGCTGCTTTCACTTGGAGTGCCCCAGAGTGGGGCGAGTGAGAGCCCTCCCCACCCCAAGGGACCCAGCCCCAGCAGCCGACCTCCACTACCCACCCGCCGCCACATTCCAGGCCGCTTTCTGGACACATTACAAAACACTTCATACCCATTTCCCATAATTACCACACCATATTTGATGGGGTTCAGACAGTAGGCAACAAATCATAGAGAGAAATATATATGCCTCTCAGAGAGCCCGGCAAGCTACTGAGAGTATCCCGCCTGCACGGGCAGAGCCTGGCAAGCTCCCCATGGTGTATTCGATAGCCAAAAATAGTAACGACAACAGGTCTCAATCCCCTGACCCTGAAAGAGCCTTCAATCATCAGGAAAAGAAGAGTAAGAAGAGGCTGCTAAAATCTCAGAACTGGGAGGAATAGAGACGTTACTGGCACCCGCTCGAGTAAACTGATGAACAATGGGATGACAGTGATACAGTGATATGATGTATTAAGATGAAAGAGACAGTATTTGTTAAATGTGAAAATCCCTAAAAATCACAAAACAATTTTCTTTCTTAGAAGAGTTCATCTGTCAAGCTCTTTCAGCTGCCACAATGAGTTTTCCAGTTTTATTCATCCCCTCCGATATCTGGCTCCGATATATATCTGAGTTGTATTTTATATCATCACGCATGTTTTAAACAAACTCCAGTAAAACTGTCCCAGTAGAATATCATAGAGCATGCATGCCCGGTGAGAACTCAGTGCCGTTCTATCCAGCCACAGGATTTGCAGAGCACTGATTAAATTTGTTGCAAACTCTATATTCAAGGATACAAAAAACTATGCTGTTTATGTACCTAATTCAAGTTTATGTAAGAAAATAATAGTGCAATGTTTTTTGTTGTTTTTTTGCCTTGCCACTTGAGACATGCCCAAACTTTGCCCATGACTTATCTATAGCCTATATTTATTTAATTCTGGGATGGGGGCACACCCAGTAGTGCTCAGGGCTTACTTTAGGTTCTACATTTAGGGATCATTGTTGATGGGGCTCGGGAGCATCATACCCACTGCACTACCTCTCCCTCCCCTTATTTAATATTTTGAAATAAATATTGAGTATGTCGTCTGTCTCTCAATTCTGAAGAAGGAATTAAAGTGTAGAATTTCATTAAGTGCAATTTGGTAAATTCTTCAAAATAACAATTTCTGTTCTCTTACTGTGTGTGTACACACATCAGTTTTCCCAGTCAGGTGCCCCTAAGAGATAGCCTGTTTCCAAAAGGATAATGAATGGTCCAGTGCTGAATCTGACTGGCAAATACTGGTCGAGCCAGCATAGCATTGTTATGGTTGCACTTTAAAATCATATCTGGGAATATTATTTTAAAGTTCTTATTATTGGATTCAATGATCTGTCACCACACCCAATACCTGCTTGGTCTTTATGAGCTCTTTGCTTTGCCACTCATCCCTGACCAATTTCTCCCAGTAGTCACACCCCATTAAGTGTTCACAAAACTCTTTTCAGAAATTGAAAGCAAAGAGGTCAGAGCAATAGTACAGTGGGTAGGTACTGGCCTTGCAGGTGGCAGACTGGACTTAAACCACGGCAACTACATATGGTCCCCCAATCCCCAGCCATGAGTAATCCTTAAGTGTAGGGCCAGCAGTTAGCCCTGAGCACTGCTGTGCTAAGTGTAGCCCCTCAAAACAAAACAAACAAACAAACAAAAAAACAGAAATTGAAAGCTATATTTGGCAGACTGTCATTTTCTGAATAGTCTTGCTTCCAGAATCTAAGGGCAACTGTCAACAATCATGTTTTTCCACAGGTGAGACATGTAAGATTTTATTTCAGACTTTACATTGCCCAATGACTCATAAATTCACATGGCAATAGCTACAGTTCAACTCTAACCTATAAAGAATATTTGAATGCAATAACTGTGGCAGCTAACTTAGGATAATACCAAAGTTTAGTCATAAAAACTTCCTTACTTAGCACAAAACTGAATGATAAGCAAGAGGAACAGAAAGATCACTGTAAAGGAGTGGGAAAAAATGCCATAAATGTGCTTCAACAAGGATAGTTGGAAATGATCGCTCTGGGAAAGAACTGAGTGCCACAAGCTGGTGAAGGGATATACATGTTAACCTCTCAGTACCTATATCGCAAACCATAATGCCCAGAATGAAAGAGAATGAGAGAGAAGGTGAGAGGGGGAGGGGGAGAGACAGAGACAGAGAGGAAAGAGAGAGAGAGAGAAAAAAAAAGTGCCTGCCGTAGAGGCAGCTGTGGGGGGGCAGGTAGGGAGGGAAACTAGAGACACTGATGGTGGGAAATGCATACTGGTGAAGGGATGGGTACTGGAATATTGTATGACTAACACCCAATTATGAACAACCTTGTAACTCATGGTGAGTCAATTTAAAAAATTAAATTAAAAAAGAAATAAAAAGTGCTTCATAGCAAGTTATTGTAAAGCAAAATAGTCTTTTTATTCATCTTCTATGCTTATAGTCCACATAATGGCTAATATATAGCAGGCACTCAAATATTTACTGAATAAATGAACTTTTCTTTTTGTTTGTTTTTGAGTCGCACTTGGCTGTGCTCAGGGCTTACTCCTGGTTCTGCATTCAGGGATCACTCCTGGTTCTGCATTCAGGGATCACTCCTGGCAGGCTTGGGTTACCTTAAGGGGTGCCAGGGATCAAACCTGGGGCAGTTTCATGCAAAGCAAGTACTCTACCTGCTGTACTATTGCTATGGCTCCACCTAAAGAAACTTCCAAGAGTTTTCTTTAGATATACTATATACATTATCTAGAACTTTCCTTAAAGATCTCCCTGCTTTTCCTTTCTTTTCTAATCTTGGCTTTGACACTCTCCATGAGCTACTGGTATGTCCCAAGAACGTACAATACAGCTGGAAGAAAGATGTATTCAGTGATTGCTGCCAAGCAATATAATGTCCTGATGCAGGACACAGCTGGGGTGTAGGGTGTAGCTGGATGTGTCCATCAGTCAGGAGCTGGGCGAGTGCCACCCAGGTGAGCAGTGGCAAGTGTGAAAGTTGAGGCCTTGGCACCTCAGCTGTGTGGAAAAGAACCAAACCAGCAGGTCACAAAGAGTTGAGAGTTGGAAATCAGTCAGGAGGAAAAGTGAGCAGGAGGACAAATGAACAGATGTGCATGTGGTTGAGCAACAGTAATGAAAGAAAAGACAGACATATCCACTCAGCTGAGGTCAGAGGAAACAGCAGTTCAGCCAGAGAAAGGCTGAACAGAACAGAGTCCAAGTACAGGGGTTACCTAAAAATTTTCCAAGATACTCTCCCTGACTATATGTAATCTTATTTGTGTTTTAGGGTACATACTGTGGTGCTCGGGGATTACTCCTGGCTCTGTGCTCAGGAATCACTCCTGGGGGCCTCAGGGGAGAAGTGAGGCAAGAACAGAATAACAGCTTAACATCTTCAGATAACATCTCACCCACTGTACAAACTCTCCAGTCACTGGGCATAATCTTGTTAAGGAGATCAGGTCCAAAAAGTCCATTAGAGCTACATGAAATAAATATCATTTCTTTCAAGGACCAAACAGATAGTACTGGGGTTAAAGCACTTGGCTTGCATGCAGCTAACCACAGGTTTGATCCCCAGCACTAAATATGGTCTCCACTAGATGTGATCCCTGAGCACAGAGCAGGAAGTAAGCCCTGAACACCACTGGATGCGGCCTGAAGACAAAACAAAACAAAAAACTTTAAATAAATACAGATTTTTTTTCTTTCTACAGGGTCTGGTAAAAAGAGAAGTAAGCCTGTACCAGGGAAACTTTCTCCATCATTCCTGGTAATGGTGGTGACGTCAAAGAAAGGAACTTACTCAACACAACTTCATGAAATAACCAGATCATATTTCCTATTTACCACCCCAAAATACAGACAGGTAGTGATCACTACGAAGTGGTTTCATTGAGGGGGATCACTTCTGCTGAGTATTCAGAGAAAGGCAGCATACACCTCTTTTGTCACACTATCCATAAGAGGAGTTTCACCTCTGAGAAGGCTTTCCTTAATTTTAAAATGCAAATAAATATTCTCCCTTCCAATGACAGGGGACAGGGTATCAGTTTTATCAGAATATTTATGGTATTTTCTGCTGCACTAAAACCTTCCTCAGTCTGATGACATATTTCATTCTTCTTTGTAGCTGCAGTTATAATATCAGTCTCATTGTAAAAGAGAAATGTTGAACACTCTGAACATAAAAAGTTTCAGTTCAGTCAGATCCAAGGGCAGGGATTCTGAAGCATCTGTGTGACTTCAGGAAACCAGTTTATTTGCAAGACACAAAAGACATAGATACATAATTTGGTCTATGTACTGAAACCTCATCTAGCACATTCTGAGACTCGCAAGATAGTGCGATTGGGGACTCATTATCTTTTCTTTTTTTCTGCACCAAAGTTTGAAACCAACTTAAGTTTTCATTAATATAGACAAATAGAAACACATTAAAAATTAGCATGCCAGAGCAAGAGTGATAGTCACAAGAATGATAGGACAGCAGGTAGGATGCTTTCCTTCAATGTGGATGATCGGAGTTCAATTCCTGGCATCCCATATGCCACACCAGCAGTGATCCTTGAGCACAGAGCCAGGAGTAAGCCCTGAGCAACGCTGGGTATAGACCCCAAAATAAAAATGAAATAAAAGTTAGCATTCCGAGCCCAAAACTCTACTATAAATACCACTGTGAATTAGGGTCCCTAACCAAAAATTTAAATAAAAAAATTAACATATCTTATAGAAGGAGGTTTTAAGTTGTTTCATTCTTAAATAAAAAGCAAATAGTTGATAGGAGCTGATCAGTGAGTTCACAACTAATTATCACCAAAATCACATAAAACTACAAAATAAAATGGTAACAAATTTGGCATACTTTCAGGAAGAACTCATTAGTTTTTATTCTTTTTAACACTGGACGATAAAGGATGGGAAGTGAGTTAAATGCTTTTGTTTTTAGTAGACTTAATTTTTTTTAATAAAAGAAAATCCATTTTAGGTTTACAGATAAATTTAGCAGAAGTTTTAGATTTCTCATATACTTCCTATATTCACATATGTGAAGCATCGGGACACAGGATGAGTTCAATAACTTACTATGTCCATTTCCATTCCATTTTTCTCAGGAAAGCAAAATTACTCTCAGAACTCTGTTCTACTTCTCAGAACAGAGTCATCCTCTGAAACTTCTTCTGCAGGGTCTCAGAGTAAGGTATTATATAACACAGCAAACAAACTCTGGTTTCAACCACGTCCTTACAGCAGAGGCCGCAATGACGCACTCTCTGCACATTGATGTCACAAAACGAAAGACACCATAAAGAGAGGGATTTCGGGTTAAAGACTAAGATGTGAAGAGCAAGACACCACAGTAGAGGAGCTGTAGAAGTAAGATGTCCTACATAGTCTAGAGTATTTCTATAAGTCAAGTTTCTGAGAAGCATTGTCTGACAGCAACTTCAAGGTCACACTCCACACAGGTACCTAGAGTCCAGCTATTGTATATTGTCAATTAAACAGAGGAGGAGGGGAGGGAGGCAGAAGAAGGATAGAAATGGTGCTTACTTGCAGGAGTCTGACCCAGGTTCCATCCCATAGGGTCCCCTGAGTATAATCAGGAGTGATCATTGAGCACTTAACCAGGAAGAAACACTGAGCACCACAAGGTATGGCCCCAAAACATCAATAACAAAAAACAGTTACTGGAACAGGTGGTAGAGCTGGGGTTGGACTTACAGCCTCTGGAAGATCACTAAGGAAAGTTACTATGCAGAGTTACTATTTGGAGGGAGGGTGGGAGCTTGAGGCCACATCTGACAGTGCTCAGGACTTACTACTGGCACTGTGCTCAAGGATCACTCCTAGCAGTGCTTGGAGGACCATAAGTGGTACCAGGGATTGAAACATTTGGCTGCATGCAAGGAAAGAACCTTATTCCCTTTTCCCCTTTACTATCTTTCCAGTTTCCAGAGTAACTATTATATTATTACTCCTGCCTAGTTAATATAAGAAAGACTTCTTGGAATCAGAGCGATAGTTCAGCAAACAAGGTATATGCCTTGTAGTCAGCTGACCCCAGGTTTGTTCCCCAGCACCCCACATGGTCCCTCAAGCCCGAGCTCCCTAAGCACAGAGCCAGGAGTAAGCCCTCAGTGCCATTGGGTGTGGCTCAAAAACAAGACAAAAAAAGACTTCCTCCTGTAGCATGTTTTAAATAAGCAAGGTGAACCACAACCTATCCTTCATATTCAGGCTTATCTGGGGTAAACAAAATATGGATTAGTTATTATAACTGCCCTCTGTAAAATTATTCAGGGGCCTGAAAGACTGGAATTCATCTGTTGCATGCAAGGGATCCAAGTTTGGTCTCTCTCACTGCATGATCCCCAGAGAACCACCAAAAATAACTCATAAGCAAGCACCACTGGGTGTGATTCAAAAACTAAAACAAAAAAGTTTGTTTGCTTGTTTTTTGAGCCATACACAGTAGTGCTGAGGGCTTACTCCTGGCTCTGTGCACAGGGATCACTTCTGGCAGTGCTGGGGGACCCTATGGGATGGCTGCATGCAAGAAAAATGCCCTATCAGCTGTAATATTTCTCTGACTCCCCCCAAAAATATTTTTCAGTGGCCCCCTGCATACCCACTGGAAGACCTCAAGGTTATTTCTATGATCATTAAGCCCTTTAGATAACTGAAATTTGCCTTTCCTATATTATTATCTTTTCTAATAATTACCTTTTCTGATGTGATAGCACAGCGGTAGGGTATTTGCCTTTGCCAGCCCAGCCAAGCCGGGTTCGACTCCTCCATCCCTCTTGGAGAGCCCAGCAAGCTACCGAGAGTATCTTGCCCGCACGGCAAAGCCTGGCAAGCTACCCATGACGTATTCAATACGTCAATACAAACACAGTACAACAAGCCTCAAAATGGAGACATTACTGGGCCTGCTCGAGCAAATCGATGAACAACGGGAGGACAGTGTTTGTTTGTTTGTTATCTTTTTTGATTTTGTCTCCTCTGATCCAACCTCCCTAGTCTCACAGTGAATGCTTTCCAATCATACCACATGGTTTCACCTCCTCTCACCTTCTTTGCTTATGTTAGCTGCACTTGGCATTTTCTCATGAAGAAAGAAGAAACTAGGTCTAGAATTTGTTTTCACTCCCTCTCATGCCAACCCCTTCACTGTTTCCATGACAAGACTATCTAATTCTGTATGAGTCTGACCGCTTTACAAACTTACCCTTGGCATCCCTGCCACAGCACTGAACCCGAAATGAAAATGCTTCAGTGAAAAAGTCCCTGGACGAAAGGAGTCACTTACCCTACAATATGGCTCCTTCTTTCTTATGTCTTCTTGCTGGAGCAGACTCAGACCCTGGACACCATTCTGCAGGCCTCTCTCATACAGGGCCTGAAGTCTGGGAATTTCTTCTTGTTCAACAGCAACTATAAGCTTAAAAAAAAAAAGATAAAGAATATAGAGAAAGCTGAATATACCATCAGCTATGAAAGATTTATTCAACAGAAAACTTATGGATTATAGTGGATTAATTTAAATTTTTTAAAATGTATCTTCATCTCCCTTTTTTTCATTACCTAATGATTTTCTTCCATAAACAGAGAAAAAGAAAAGCTGTCTTAAGAAATCAACATTAAAGTATGTGGTCATCCCCCCACCCTCCAAGTGAAGGGCAGCCACAATTTTCATTTGTTTTCATAGTTCCTATATTCATAATGGCCAAAAGCAACCTATCATTACTACTCCCTCAAAATCCCAGTGGTGAGGGAAGGACAAGTTTATTCATTTTCACATTAAGCACCAATTAAACAATACTGGAGATGCTTGTGATGTAACTCAGTAGTGGAGTATTTTTGCCCTGCATGTGTGAGTTCTGGTTTGATGCTCCCCCCCCCCACCCCCCCACCCCCGGCAGCACTGGAAAAGGGAAAAATATAATCCCAAACAACCAAACCCAAAATCGCTTACATCTTTCTAGAAAAATGTGAAATAACAAGTATATCAGAAAGACAGTCATGTTCAATATAAGGGGCTATCACTAAAAGAAAAGTTAACCATTTTATTTCCTGGAGGAAAGTACATTTCAAAGCATCTACTAATATATTCTGCTGCAGGGGAATAAAAAGTAAATAGTTAACTTTACAGAGACTGTTATCCTAGTTACTTCTGGGCAAAGTGTCTGCTTGAGGTTATTTCTGTCTTATGATAAATTAAACAACTACCAGGTTAGTAAGGTACAGATGCATATTTACAAGTAGGTGTGAATTCATCATCATATTTCATAACAGAATCACATGAAAATACCTTTAAATCAAGGGATTAGTGTTATTTATATCAACAAATATTTAACCTTATAAATAGAAAAGGAGGGCCAGAAAGATAGTACAAGTAGAGTGCTTGCCTTATACATGCCAACCCGGGTTTGATCCCATCATCCCATACAGGCCCCTGAGCTGCACCCGGAGTAATTCCTATGCAAAGAGCAAGGAGTAAACCCTGAGTACTGCTGGGTGTGGCCCAAAAATCAAAACCCAAAAAAAAAAAAAAAAAGGAACTGGAATTAAAGAACTCTAACAAGAAAGTTTAAAAGCTGGCAAATTGTGAGAATATATTTGAAACTATGCAGATAGTAAGTTTATTTCCAGGATAGTTATTAATAATATATAATAAAATTACTGATAAAGTTTTTTATCTTAATTTTTCCACTTAAGAATTAATATCAATTCTTCATAAACCTTTACAAAAAAAACTTTAAGGGCCACTTCTCCATATTATTTAAACTTTTACTCTTAGAAATTACATGGAGAAGATTTGTAAGGAAGGGAATAATAAAACAATCACACGTCAAATATTACACCTATATGAAATAGAAAAATCATAGAAGATACAAACTTCTAAAACTTACAAAGGAAAAGGTAAATCTGAAAAAACCTCTCTGAAGTAAAGGGAGGGCTAGGGATATGTGCTCAGTGATGGAGTGAATGCTTACATGTAATACCCTGAGCTCAATCCAAATTTTAAAACTAAATGAAGAGGAACATAATGATAGTACAGCAGGTAGAGCTCTTGCATTGCATGTAGCTGACCCAGATTTGATCCTAGGCATCTCATATGATCCCCTGAGCCCTGCAGGAGTGATTCCTGAGTGCAAAACCAGGCATAAGTACTGAGTACTGATGAGCGTGATCCAAAAACAAAAATAATAAAAATAGTAAATTAAAACAAAGTAAAGATATTTAATGGGCTGGAGTGATAGCACAGCGGTAGGGCGTTCGCCTTACAAGCGGCCAACATGGCCGACCCGAGTTCGATTCCTCCGCCCCTCTCGGAGAGCCCGGCAAGTTACCGAGAGTATTCGATATGCCAAACACAGTAACAACAAAGTCTCCAATGGAGACGTTACTGGGCCCGCTCGAGCAAATCGACGATCAACGGGAGGGCCTTTACCTTTTAAAGATATTTAATAAGTAACCTACAGGCTAGAGTAACAGCACAGTGGGTAGGGTGTTTGCCTTGCATGCGCTGACCCGAATTCAATTCCCAGCATCCCATATGATCCCCTGAGCACAGCCAGGAGTAACCCCCATGCATCGTGGGGTGTGACCCAAAATGAAATCCTTAAAAATATTGATGCAAAATTTCTGAACGAAATACTAGTGAACTAAATACAGTAACATAGAATTATGGGGCTGGAGCAATAGCACAGCGGGTAGGGCATTGCGTTGCACACGGCTGACCCAGGTTAGATTCCCAGCATCCCATATGGTCCCCTGAGGACTGACAGGAGTAGTTTCTGAGTGCAGAGCTGGTAGAAACCCCTGTACATTGCCAGGCGTGACCCAAAAAAAAAAATCCCACAAAAAAACATATAGAATTATATATTTTGGCCAAGTTGGATTTATTGTAGGAATGCAAGATCAGCACAACATTCAAAAGTCAATTAATGTAATATATGGTATATTTAAGAGACTAAAAAATACTTTGTAATTGTGTGAATGGAAGCAGAAAAGTTCTTTAAGAAAAATCTAATACCCTTTCATAATGAAAACATTAAACGAAGGCACACTCAAAGAGCAGAGCACAAGCTTTCCAGGTATGAAGCCCTGGGTTTATTTTCCCTCCTCCCCACAAATAAAACAAAACAAACAACTATATATATATATATATGTATATATATATACATATATATACACATAAAGGGAATTAAAAGACAAACAAATAAACTAGGGCCAAAAGATTATGTGTACAGAACCTTTTGTGTACAAAAGGTTAAGGCATTTGTCTTGCATCCTGCTGACCCTAATTCAAATCCCTACAAACACCATCATGGATCACTACTGAACAGAACCAGAAATAGCTCAGAGGATGGCCCAACCCAACACTTCAAAAAAAGGGCAGGGAGGGGTGCAAGAGAAATGAAGAGTCAGTAATTATTCTGTAATATTAATATTTGTAAATTATATAATTACATAGATACAAATAAAGAAAAGCCCAGTATTTAATTCAAAATTAAACATCACCAAGAAATGGCTACTTACAAACAAGCCAAGGCCCTAGTAAAATACTGTACCTTGCCACACTGCTTGTAGGCAATTCCCTTTTGGTTACAGTACTCATACATGAGGGCAGCACCTTCTACACATAATTTAGCTTTCAGAGACCCGGGTTTATAATAAATCCCACTATGTATAACACCGCTGTTATGTCCAGTCTGGTGAAGAGCTACAGAAAAAGACAAAATGGTGAGAGCGTGCACAGGACTCATACAAAAATGAAAAAGAGGAAAAATTTGTGAAACTGATGGAGTCTACATGATTGAAAACTCTACTTTCTTTTATTACTTGTATGTATAGTCTGAACATTGGTGATTTGCTCCACCTCCCTTGGCTCTGTGGCACATTCCTCCAGCCCACCTCAGATTTCAGTTATAACTCTCTTGGGTAAAACTTACTTCTCACTCCCAACAAACTTCTTCAAGTGCTCTTCCCTATTGACCATCCTCATCTCCTTATTCCTGTCCAGACAACCCCTCAAATAAATGACCTACTGCCAAGTACTAGTTCTAGGCTCTACTTTGGGAAGAACCCGCAGTAGACCACTAACACAGATACTTAACATAAAGGATGTATAACTGGTAAGATGAGCAGGTGTTCAGGTTAAGCCCCAAGAGTAAGACTGATAAGACACATACCCAAGTCTTTTTCCTTTTCCAGAACACCAATGGAAAGTGCTGGATGTCTCAGGCTGAGTGTTCTGGCAGAGGCAAGTCCCACAATTCCACCACCGATAACAACTACATCAAATAAACTTGAAAAGAAGGTAACCATTAAAATAATGCATGTTTAGAGCAGTCTTCATCAAACTCACACACATAGTTTTCATTGATAATGGATAATTAAGCTATTATTTTTTAATCATTAAACATATATTTACAGGCATTAGCTATCTGGCCTCAAATATTTATAGGTTTTGGCAATCTGGCCTCACACTTATGAAGAAAACTATAAAAACTATACATGAGGCTTGTCAATAGGATAAATGGTTATACCCAGCAGGCCGAATGGCTAGTTATCTGAACAGTACTCTGCCCTGGCTGGTCATGTAAGTGATTAGTCATAACACTCTTCCCTACCATCAATCTTTCTAAAGTCAAATACAGTATTCTTTGTGGACAAGCCAACACATTAACTCTGTGTATACAAGATGTATGCTTTTTTTTCCTGTTAAGATATATGTGGTAATATCAAGCCTTAGGGAAATAAATGGTCCAGAACTTATTTCTGGACCATTTATTAAAACTACAATTAAAACTACAATTTTATTTATTTTGGGTGTGGGGCTACACATGGCAACATTCAGAGCTTACTCCTCAGGGTCTGTGCTCATATGAGCATATGGGATGCTGGGGATAAAACCCAGGTTAGCTGTCTGCAAACCTTACTCACTGTACTATCACCCTGGTCCAAAGACCACAATCTTAGCCATATAAAGTGCTAATTACATGATCATTAAAAAAAATCACAAAGGACATGCGGAGCCTTTCTAATTTTACAATGAGAACTTTAAAGAATTTTCCTTAGAACTGATTACATAATTAACACTTTAGTTTTATAGGAAATGGGGCTGGAGCAATAGCATAGCAGGTAGGGCATTTGCCTTGCACGAGGCCGACCTGAGTTCAATTCCCAGAATCCCATATAGTCCACCCCAAGCACCGTCAGGAATAATTTCTGAGTGTATGAGCCAGGAGTAGCCCCTATGCATTGCTGGGTGTGACCCAAAAAACAAACAAACGAAAAAAAGAAATATGGCCAAGCTTGTTTCTGTTTTGTCCCCTCCTCATTATATTTTGAAGGAACCCCTAAACAACAATATTTCCATGTCACTGATAAAAGGCCTCTTTAATTATTCTAACTTAAACAATTAACAATAGGGATCAGAAAGATAGTCCAGTGGGTAGGGTGCTTGCCTTGCATGCAGCTGACCCGGTTCGATCACAGTATCCCATATGGTCCCCTGATCCCTGCTAGAAGTAATTTTGAGTGCAGAGCTAGGAATAAGCTTTGAGCATTGTCAGGTGTGACCTCCCCCCCACCAAATATATTAACAATACTGTTTTATATCAGGTATTCATTGGGCTGGAGTGATAGCACAGTGGTAGGGCATTTGCCTTGCATGCAGCCAACATGGCTGACCCAAGTTCGATTCCCCCGCCCCTCTCGGAGAGCCCGTCAAGCTACCAAGAGTATCCTGCCCGCACCGCAAAGCGTGGCAAGCTACCCGTGATGTATTCGATATGCCAAACACAGTAACAAGTCTCACAATGTTACTGGGTCCGCTCGAGCAAATCGATGAACAACGGGACGACAGTGACAGAGAAAGTGATCAGATATTCATTATAAAACTTTCAGATGAAAACAGATCTTGACACCAAAAGCTTAATCCACAAAAGATAAAGACTGATAAATTGGGGACTGGTGAAATAGCTCAAAGGAGTAGAGCACATGCCTTGCAATGCACAAGGCCCCAGGTGTGACTCCAAGTTCCCAAAGCCTCAAGTTTGACTCCCCAGGATCACATGTTTCCTAAAGCATCACTTGGGTTTAGTCCTGATATCCCTTTAGCCCCATCAGCTGTGCTCCTGTTGGCCTCCTGAGACCCCACATCTGTTATGGTTCTAAATGACTTCAGAGCTACCGAGTTGAGCACTTACTATCAGGCCCAGTAGTGCTGGGTCAATCACCACTGAAGCTGGCCCTCGGGCTACTGAACATAGCTGGGCAGAGCCCTCCAAAAAGAAAATAGAAAAGATAAAAGAAACTTATCAAATTAAAAAATTCTAGTCAGCAAATGAGCCTTGTTCAGAGCATAAAAAGATGGGGCCTAAGAGATAACACAGAGGGGAAGGTGCTTGCCTTGCACCGGCCAACTTGGGTTAGATCCCCAACACCACATATAGTACCCTCATCCTTGTTAAGAGTGATCCCTGAGCTCAGAGCACAATTGGGAGTGCCCAAAAATCAAACAAAAAAGTATGAAAAGATCATAAACAAATGGGAGAAATTATTTGCAAACCACAGATATGATTCTGCTATAGTTTTTCCTCAATCTTTTTTCTGACTGTGGCCCATTTCCAGTCTTGTTTTCTCCGTGTCCTGTGACCCATGCAACTGGCTGGCCCTTAGTCTCATGCCATAGGCCCCATTTACCTGATTTTACCTGTGATTCCCTTGGAATATCCTGGGGGCCCACAGGCTATGAACTCTGTTGAATCCCAGTTAATAATCACTACTCTAGTAGAGTGTATAAGAAATTTCAAAACAAATCATTCATTTAGAATAACTGGGCAAAATATGGGCTGAAGCGATAGCATAGTGAGTAGGGCGTTTGTTTGCCTTGCACGTGGCTGACCCGGCAACCCGAGTTCGATTCCTCTGCCCCTCTCCGAGAGCCCGGCAAGCTACTGAGAGTGTCTCGCCCGCACGGCAAAGCCTGGCAAGCTACCTGTGACGTATTCGATATGCCAAACACAGTAACAACAAGTCTCACAATGTTACTGGGCCCACTCGAGCAAACTGATGAACAACGGGAGGACAGTGACAGTGACAGGGCAAAATATATATATAAACATTTCATCAGAGAAAATAGGTGTAGAGCCAGAAACTCAATGAATTCACTATATACAGGAGGCCCCGATTCAATCATGGTCCTCCAAGCACTGCTTGGGAGTAGCCCCTGAGCATCACTGCCTGTGGCTTAAAATTCAAAATGCAAACCAATGGATCTGGAAAGCAAGCATGTGATTCATTAAAATAAAATCTAAAAAAAAAGTAAATCTTAAGCATCCACCAGTCTGTGGTCCATAAAACAAACAAATAATAAAGGATACACATAAAAAAAAAAGTTGTTCAATGACTTATGTCATTGAGGAGATGCAAATTAAAACTATACTATCAGTATACCTCAATCAGATGGCTAAGATTTTAAACTTTACGCCAAATAGGAAAATAAGGAGCAACTGGATCATTCATAAGTGGATCACTCACAAGTTGCTGTTGAAAATATAATCATATAGCCACCCTGGAAATGGGAATTGTAGTTTTAAAAAAGTCAACTATGAAAAAGACTAAACATGTTTACTACATGGCTCAGCAACTGTACTCCCGGGAATTTATCACAGAGAAATGAACGATGACATGACAATCTGTACAAAAATATAGCTGTAGCTTTATTCATAATAACTCCAAACATGAAACTGATTTTTTTAAAAAAATTAATATATCTATCCCTACTGTGAAATGCTATTCAATAATTAGCAGAAATTATTAACAGTGATAAGCAACACCTTGAACTGACTGTAAGGATGCTGAATGCAAAATGCCCAAATACACACTGATTCTTCTTACACAAGATTTTCAAAAAGACATAATTATAGAGCTGGAAAATATTCTGTTAGTTTGTTACAGAGATGGGAGGTGGTAATATAAAGGGATCTCTGTGTTGGTGAGACATGCTTGTATCTCAATTATGGTGGCTATTTTTTGCTTTGTTTTGTTTTGAGGCCCATCCTGTGGTGCTCAGGGCTAACTCTTGGTTCTGTACTTAGGAATCACTCCAAACAGGGCTTGGAAGGCCATATGGGATGTCAGAAATCAAACCCAATTTAGTTGCATGCAAGGCAAGTGTCCTACCCCTATACTATCTCTCTGGTCCCTCTGGTGGCTGTTACACAATAAGCATGTTAACAACGTAAGAAACACACACAAATGTCATATAAAACTGATGAAATCTGGACAGGGCCTGTGGATTATAGCATGTCAACATCCAGTCTGATAGTGCACTATCATTACATAAAAAATCAGGGTTGGGGTGAACAGATTGAAGTTTCCATGATGGGATACAGTGTCTCTGTAGCTTTGTTTGGGGGCCACACCTGGCAGTGCTCAGGGAGCTGCTGTGCAGAAGAGTTGAACCAGGATCACAGCCATCTACAGGACAAGTGTCTTAACCACCCTGTACTATCTCTCTGACCCCTCAGTACTATTTTTATAAATTCCTACAGCTCTATAATCACTTTAAAGTAAAAATAAAGACAAAACCTTTAGGAGCTCCACTTTTTACTCCTAAAAACTTGCTAAAAGAATTGACTACGTACCCCCTAAGTTACAAATTCACTAATCACTAATAGCCCTCCAATCCACAATCCACACACTGCAGCTAGAGTCAACTTTTTGTTTGTTTTTGTTTTGGGGACACACCTAGTGGTGCTCAGAGCTTATTTCTGACTCTGCCATGCTCCGGAGCCCAAATGGGATGCTGAGATTCGAACCCAAGTCGACTGCGTGCAAGGCAAGCGCCCTATCTGCTGTACTGCCATCCTAAACATTTTTTACCCTCTCGCACCCCTAATGTTAATTTTTTAAATCAATATCCACAAATCCGTCAAAAGCTTCCCAATGCTCTGAGAATAAAACCCAACACGAAATTAAAATAAAATTAAAACGCTGTTGGGATGTAGTCATCCTCTCCCTCTACAGAGAACGAGGACAGACCGTGATTTCAAAGATCCTCTCCTTCAAACCTTCAAAGGAGCGAATCCGGAAGCCTGATACAGTACCAGGAATTAAGACGGGTTTCAGATCTTCGCATAAAGGTATGTCTGATCGTATATCGTGTGCTGGATGACTTAATCAGCAAAACGACCCACTGTGAGGACTAGGATGCTATTCACAGCCAAGGTGAAAGGGAAGTGGAGGGACTTAGATTCAAAACGAGACCAGCGCTTGACCTCCACCTAATTTCTGCCTTTCTGACTTTCTCCTGGCCCACAGATACAACAAACGAATCCTGCAGCGCGGCACCGGATCCGAACTTCATTCCCACCCGGGACAGGAAGTAGAGGCGGCACGAGGTCCCTCGGAAAGCAGCAGCACAGACGGCGGGGGGCGGGCCAGAGGCTACTCACCCGGTGCAGTTTCTGCGGGCACTTTGGCACTGCGGCCAGGGTCTCCCGGGTGCATGCCCGCAGCCAGCTGAGAAGCCCTGGAGTAAAAGCCCGCGGGCCGGTCTACAAGCACCGCCCAGGTAACGCAGCGACCGCACCATAACCCGCGACCCCGTGCCCCTTCCTCAGTTCCAAAAACTGGACCCTCGAGTTAAGGCTCCAGGTGCCCTCTAAGCACCTCCTCCCAGGAGGCAACCAATGAGACACACGCTGCTGCTTCGGTGGGATGGAGCCAGTAGCCAATGGGCGTGCGCGGCGGAGGGCGAAGGGCAAAGCGGCGCGGGCGCAGGCGCAGTGGACGCTCGCTCGCCCGGTCTCTGGGACGCTGTGAGTAGAGGAGCCAGCCCCCGAGCGAGGGCGGAATCTGGGTGGGTTGTTTCCTCGCTGCCCTTGCCCTGGGTCGCGTGCCAGAAAGCCCGGCCCACCGAGTCAGGCTTCTGGCATCGACCTTCATCCCGAGCTGATTTGGGGGCGGCTGGAGAGAGGATGGGCGGCGTGATGACGATGAAAAACGCCCCTGTTTGAGTGGGCCCGGCGGCTGCTTCCCGGGCGTGCCCTTGGCTCTCCAGCGACTCATCAGCTCTGGGACCCCTCGCTGGGAGGTGCGGGGTGGGGGGAGTGCCCAGTGGAGGGGCGCTTGAGCTCCCCCTCTGCCCTCTCGCAGGCCGTGCCCGCAGCTGTCCGCTGGGGCTCCCGGGAAACGGGCGGCTTTGATGTCTAGCTGTCCCCTTGCCCTTGGTTCTTTCCTGAAATTAAGGTTTTCCCACGGACTGTGCGATACTGTGAACATCGCCTCACCCACTTCCTTCTCAAAATGAAAAGCTGGCTGTATGCTCGCTCACTAATAAAAGGATGAGACCCCTGATTCCCCCGTGCCGGGTTAGCTCACACCCTGTTCTCTGTGCTTGGCCATAGTTCTTGTTTGGGGGATCAGGAGACAGAACAAAGAAAAGAACTATTCATGACTGCAAGGGCTTGACCACTGGGATTTGGTTTCTGGTTTGGGGTAGGTGACTTGTTTCAGAAAGACCTTTCATCTCTGTCATAGCCCTCCTGTGCTCTAAGAATAGTACATAGCAGAGGTTCCCTTACTGCGCTGAACAATTTAAGAGCCCACCCCTGCCCCCACCCCCAGCTCGATGTTTCTCCAGCCCAGAAAAGGTTCTTTCTTAATTTCGCTTTTAAAATTTTTGAGATCATCGTAGGTCCTGTGCATCTATATGATACAGTAGACCTCCTGTGTACCCTCTATGCAGTCTTCTCCAGTGATAGGACATCTTGCAAAACCAGTGGGAATAGTCCAACCAGGAAACTGACAGAACTCATTGTTTTATTCAGATTTCTCAGTCTTTACATTTGTGCATGTGATCTGTATAGTTTTTCATCACGTGTTCACCACACACTAGAGAATAAACCCACGACCTAAAGAACCCCCCCCATTGCCATTTGTAACTACACCTCTTAAAGGGCACCTTTTCCCTAATTTCTTTTTTTTGCTCCTGACTCTGCACTCAGGGATTACACCTGGCATGCTTAGGGAGCCATATGTCGTGCCAGGAGGGTGGATGTCATGCAAGACAAGCATCTTAGCCACTGCACTATATCGCTGGGCCTTGATCTCCCTTTCTAAAATCTTGTAATTTTATTCAGGAATGTTATATACATAAAATTACACAGTATGCAACTCTTTGGATTTTTTCTCACCCAGCACAATCCTTTAGGATAATCTTAATTGTTGCCTATATCCATACTCATTCGTTCTTATTGCTAGGTAGTATGGTATGCATATACTGCAATGTATTTGGACATTCATCCACCAATGAACATGTAACTTTCCAAGTTTTAGCTGTTTCAAATAAAGTTGCTATGAATGTTACTCTACACTCTTTAAGCCTGTTCCCTCACACCCAGAATAAATGTTCAGGAGTCCTATTACTTGATTACATGACAAACACATTTAATTTTGTAGTAAATTGCCAAGTTCTCCAAAGTGACTCTACCATTTTATATTTCCACAAACAATGTTCGGTCAGTTCAGATTCTCTTCATTGTCCCCAATATGTGTCATTTCAAAATTTTAACCATTGTAATGCATATACAGTAGAGAGTTATTTTTTAGTTTACATAGAACATAGTTGATTTGTTAGTAATTTGAATACAGACTTACAGGCTCTGTTGTGGGGCCAGTCTAAGTGGGGGCCAGTTACGTGAGTAGAAGTGATTTTTTATTTCAGTGTGACTTAGAGCATATGTTTCTCAGTTTAGCAAGGCAATAGAATTCATAGTACACATGATTTTTGTTTGTTTGGTTTTGTGTCACACCCAGTAGTGCTCAGAGGTTACTCTGGCTCTGCACTGAGGCATTACTCCTGGTGAGCTCAGGGTATGGATGCTAGGGATCAAACCCAGGTCCACTGTGTGAAAGGCAAGTTCCCTACCAGTTATCCTATAACTCTGGCCTGTACATATGATCTTTAAAAAATAATAATATTTTTATTTTGGCATATTCAGTATGCCAAAAACAGTAACAATAATGGGTCCCATTCCCCTGACCCTGAAAGAGCCTCCAATACAGCAGCATTGGGAAAGACAAGGAGAGGCTGCAAAAATCTCAGGGCTGGGACAAATGGAGACAATACTGGCTCCCGCTCCTGCTCTCGTAAATCGATGGACAATGGGATGACAGTGATACAGTGATTTTTAGTTTGGAGGACACACTTGGCAGTGCTCAGGGCCTATTCCTGACTCCAGGCTCAGCGATCACACCTGGCATTGCTCGGGATTGAATCCAGGTCATGCAAGGTAAATGCCTTAATCACTGTACTAGATCTCTGTCCCTTTTTTTTTTTTTATTCTAGGGACAACACTAGGCCACCAGGGTTTACCATGCAGTATAAGGGATTAAACTCAAGGCTTGTGTATGCTAGGCATGTGCTTTCCCACTTGAACCATATCCATAGCCCTACACATACTCTTTTCGGGGAGTTGTGCCACACCCAGAAGTTTGCAAGGGGTTACTACTGGATCTGTGCTCAGGAGACCCTATTTATAAAGCCAGGAGTTGGCTGCATGCAAGGCAAATGCCTTAAATCCTGTATGAGCTCTCTGGCCCTACACATGCTCTTTTAATAAAGTTTTCTCTGTGTGCCCTCTTCCGGGGGGGTTGGTTATATATTAATTTGCTTCAATATGTAATGTCAAAGCAAGTGATCATCTTACATTCATTCACACAGTTTGCAATGTCTTTGTATCCAGACACTTCTGCTCTGGACTCCAGTCCTTATCTGTGAAGTCATGTTCAGTTTTTTTCCATCAGGATCTGCACCTCTAAGAAATTGGTGCCATGACTGTAGTGTGACTTAGAGCATATGTAACAACGTCTCAGAATAGCTTTTGGAGCCTTCTGGTTCCTAATGAACTGTGCAGTTTACTATCACTTGGATCTAAACCCCTCAGGAAATAAAAACTAACATAAATAGGGAATGATTTGCAGTGAGATGGGCATATTTTTGATGGGGGCAGGGGACTCTAATTCTGATACAAACACTTGCTCCACAAGTTTATCATCTTCAAAAACAAGTTTTTGAAGCCACTTATATTAACTTTCAATAGCTCTTTGAATAGCTCCTTACTTATATCTAATATGTGAAAAAACTGAAATTATTTTGAAAATATATATACTGTTTTTATCCAAACTGGAGAGGTCTCTATCAAAGTTATTTAGAAATACTTTTTATATATTTTATTTTGAATTTTAGCAGTGTGGCCTTAACATCACAAACATGTGAAACTTTTAGAAACATTTGCTACAAAATTATGTCAGTCAGCTGTGTTCTCATAGTAAAAACTTTTCTTTTTCATTTTGTTTCAAATTGAATTCCTGAGTGATTTAAACATACTGGTAATTTAGTTGTTACAATGTAATTTGCTTTGACTGTTTTCTTTTTCATTCATTAGTGCTAAAATCACTAACTTGCCACTAGAGGTCTCCTCTGACCTTTTAGAAAGCACTCCCTTATAGAAGTATTAAGTTACTTCAGTTTTTCTGTAGTTCCTAAAATCTATTAGCAAAGTCACAGTTGACAATGTAAAAACCCACTAATTTTTTATCTTTATTTTAAAATAAGATCGTATCTTTATTATTTTTTTTGTTTGTTTTTTTGTTTGGGGGCTACACCCAGCAGTACGCAAGGTTAGTTCTGACTCTGCACTCAGGAGTCACACTGGTGGGCCCAGGGGCCCCTATCCCAAGAGATTTCGAGGATGAAACCCATTCGGCCATGTACAAGGCAGGAGCACTACCCACTGTACAGACCCTTTATGATTAAATTATTTTAAATCTACTATTCCTCAGAGATGATAACTAAATTGTATTTTATCTTTCACCTAAACAGAGTAAGAAAAGTGAATCCAAAGTGAATCCAAGTGAAAGTGAATCCAAAGTGAAAGTGAATCCAAAGTGAATCCAAGCCAAAATACTTCATGTTTTCCAGAGCATTCCACTTTGCCTGATTAATACCGAATTGGGGGCTGGCAAGAGAGTACAGAGTGCAGGCCTCACATATGCACAACTCCAGTTTAATTCCTGATACCACATGACCCCCCAAGAGCATTCTTCCACTCCTTCCCCCACCCCAGCCCAGCACTGTAGGGAAACTAGGATTGAAACACTACCCCAACTTCTGGGAAGGCCCTATGGGACCCCCTGAGCACCACTTGGGAGACCCGAATCAACAAAGAACAAAAATAGGCTTTTCTGGTTTTGCCTTCTCCATGGAAACATCAGTGACTGGAGACTTTCAAATATTGAAGTCTTACCTTGGGCTGGCACTGTGTTAGGAGCTAAGAAAATGGATGTGCTCTTTCGCACTTTTGCTCTTTTCCTTTTTCTGCTGAAATAAAAATTCCTTTTCACCCTTTTAGACCCATCTCAGAAGTAATTTCTAGTGTGAAGTGCTTTTCCCCAACCCTTCTCTATACTCTCACAGAACTAGTTCATCCCTCCATTAAGACTCTGTTGCATTTATTTATGTTTTCTGTTAAACCACACATCCTATGAGGACTAGCCCCCCCCCCCGCCCTCCCATTCTCCCAATACTGTATCTCTTGCAGAAAGCACAGCAGACATTCAGTCAGTACTTGTTGAGTGAATAAATAGATGGGGAGGATGATATTCAGTGAGGTCTTGGGTGAGGTTTTCACAGACTGCATTGGAGGAGAGCTTCAGGAAGGAGAGTAAATAAAGGGAACAGCCTGAGTGGAAACTGAAAACCCCTGACTCAGCAATGCTGCTGGCAGCCAGTGGGTTTGTCGGAGGCATGACACAGGGGAGGACTTTGGGGAGAGTTCTGCCCAAAGCTTTTGAGCCTCCACACATTGGTTTCTAGGTAATTTGCCTCAAGTGTTTTGACACTTTATAGGGAATGCAAGTACTTCCAGCATCTGTGGAGGTGCACTGCCTGAGTGAGTGGACACTAGGTGGAAAGCTGGAAGGGGCTGAAGACCTGAGAGGAGGTCTCAGGAAGAGAGATTTGTAGTAATAGAGGCCCAGTAACAGTGAGAAAGGGGTGCAGGGAGTGAATGATCCCAGGTCTCTACTCCCAAACATCCTATCTCACTATTCCACAACCTCCTCACCCTCAGTCTCTTTCTCAGCTCTAGGTTGTTCCTAAATAGCCTCTTTCTAGTCTTTTTTCCTGGGTCCTAGACCCATCCAGTGACTAAAAAAAATAGAACTGGAGTGAATGTGGCTCAAATTCTCAGTGCTGCTACTAATTAGCTAAGTATGAAACACTAGGCAAGTCCTCTTATCCTCATGCATTTATTAATAACCCCACCTTGTTCCAGGAAGGATTTACGATGTCAACAAGTTTCTTAATATCAGGGCTTCCATCTCCTTATTTCTATGAGGCAGGGGTAGCCTTTCTTCCAGCTCTAGTAATTTGTGACTCTAGTGATTTATTTTTGGTCATCTCCATTTAGAAGTTCTATCAGACCTCATATTCAGAGTGTGAAGAACTGATTGCCGGGGGAGATTCATCCAGCACTGATGCCTTCCTGACACTGATATGTTAGTGGCACCAGCCTCTCCCTGAGTGGTCTGAAATCCACTTCCTAATTTCATTCTCATCCTTCCCCCCACTCTGTCCTTTCCCAGAACCACATGTAGTTGAAACTCTTGTCAGCTGTCTTGGGACCTTTCCACTCACCCTCAATCTTTATGCTGCTGTCTGAGAAATTGTCCTGACACATAGTTCTACAGAGAACGCCAGACCCTTTCTGAGGTGTCTGTGTGAACCGTCTGTCCACTTCTCTTGAACCTCATGGCCTAAGCTAACCGAACTGCACTATGCCTGAGGCATTCTTGCCTCAGCTAATCAACAGACATGCCTTTTCCTGGGACCTTGGTCTGTCCTTATTTTCTCTCCCTGAGGTATTAACCAGGTCCAAATCTTTATTTTAACTACTCAGTAACTTGTTTCGCTGACCCCACTCTGAGGTAAGTGGTCAGCTCCTAAGAGGCAGGAACCTCCTTTATGATGAGGTTAGATGTATCATTTTTCTGTGTCACCCCTCACCCCACCATCTGCCGGTCAAACATTTTACACACACACACACACACACACACACACACCCCTCTCTGCTGCCCCCCTCACCTTCCCCCCCCCCCCCCCCCCGCCTGGGCAAACTACTAGAAAAACTAGAATTGAGATCAATCAAATTGAGACTCAGTTGCCACTCAGGGTTGTAGACTGTTAGAGCTGGACACCATCTCAGAAAATCATCTCATTTTACGAATGAGAAGGCCAGAGCTCAAGAGAAGTTGCTTACCTCTTCCCTAGCTGTCCTTTGCCATGATCTGTCGTTGGTCCTGGCCATTTGGAGTTCTGTCATCCACCCTGGTCCTCATCATAAGAAGCTGTTTTCACATCTCTTCTCCCTCCCAGGATAGAAGCTTTTGAGCCTCCACACATTGGTCTGTAGGTAATTTTCCTCAGGCATCTTGACACTTGATAGGGAGTGCAAGTAATTCCTGACCCTGTGGAGGTGCGCTGCCTAAGTGGACACTAGGTGGCAGCACTGCAGGCGACTTCCATTATGGTTTGGACCATGGAGACCAGCCATCCCACCTCTTGCAGGTTTTTGGGTTGCTTGGGTTTTTTGAGGGGGTTTTTTTTTGAGGTTTTTTTTTTTAAGTTATTTTTTGTTTTGTTTCTTGCAAACAAACCTGAGAACCTTAGAGAGGGGTGACTTGCTGGATATTTATTGAGTAACAAATGAGCCCTCAGTTTATCAGTACCAGAGCATTAACTTTGAAATATGACATTATTAAGTGTTTGGGACCTGCATTCCTAATGAATGATTTAATGTAAATCCCGCTTTATGTTTTTTAGATGAAATGAAGCTGTTTGGAAAGTTTTCCAGGCAGTTGTGTTGCTTCAAGAAATTCCCATCATCATGTGACTCCAGATACTTTTGGACCTGGTTGAATGCGGTGTTTAATAAGTAAGTTACTCTAATTAATGTGTAGTTACTCGGATTAATTAGCATCAAGGAAGTTTCTAAAGCTGGATGAATTCACAGTAAAGGTAAAGGTAAAGGCCCTCCCGTTGATCGTCGATTTGCTCGAATTCACAGTAGTTAATTTTATTATCTCTTGTATTTCAAATGTTTTTTGTAAAGCACCTATAATGTGATACAATTTTTTTTAAACAAAACACAGCATTAATAAAGATTATAGAAGTACACGCATGTTCACACACACATACACACATACATACAGGAGTCTTTGGCTCATACCAGTGATGCTCAAGGGCTTCTCCTGGTTCAGTGCAATCTTCTAATTATATTCAGGGGTCAGTATGTAGTGCCAGTGATCAAATCGGAGTTGACCACATGCAAGGCAAGCACCTTAAATGCTGTACTATCTCTCCAATCCCCTTAATGAGATGAATTTGAACAGAGGTTCAAAGTTATTTCTTTATTTTTTCATCACTAGGAACAATGATCAGACGAGATCGGGTGCATTCAGGATGGTCTGATGGCTGGAGCGATAGCACAGCGGGTAGGGCGTTTGCCTTGCACATGGCTGACCCGGGTTTGATTCCTCTATACCTCCCGGAAAGCCCAGCAAGCTACCGAGTATCCCACCCACCCACACAGCAGAGCCTGGCAAGCCCCGTGGTCTATTTGATATGCCAAAAACAGTAACAACAAGTCTCACAATGGAGACGTTACTGGTGCCCACTCGAGCAAATTGATGAGCAACGAGAGGACAGTGCTACAGTGCTACAATAATAATGATTACCTAATATATCATTAATTCAGTATAGTTACTGTGTAGTACTGGTTTGTCAAATACTGGGCTACTTATAAATAGTGGACTCGTTTCTCTCTGAAAAGTAATAAAAATAATATACCTTGGGTCAAGGAGATAATTCAGAGGGTTGGAACATATGCATAGCATGCAAAGGGTCCCATGTTCAGTCACTGGCACTGCAGGTTCACTGCCCCACACCCGAGTATAGCCTGGGTATAGCCAGCCCCTCTGGGTCCAAGTAACGCTATGACCCCACTGAGTGCAGAATCCTCAGGCCCACACTGACCAGGCTGAGAGTTGCAGGGAGTGGCCTAGAGCCTCTGGTTGGCTACATGCAGGGCAACTGCCCTACCCATTGTACTGTAGTATCTTGTCAGCCCCTATATGTTATTATTTTTTTTTTAAGAAAAGTGGATCACACTGGTATACTTATCTACCTCTTCAGTTATTTGAAATGAGTAGTTGTTGCTGGTGTGTGTGTTGGTGAATGAAGTTAAAAAACTCTGATTCCAGTAACAGCTAACCTTTTTTTTTTTTTTTTTTTTTTTTGCCAACAGAGTGGATCGTGAGCGCATCAGGGAGGTTGGCCCCGATAGAGCGGCTTCTGAGTGGCTGCTACGCTGTGGGGCCATGGTGCGCTACCACGGCCAGGGGAGGTGGCAGAAGAACTACAACAGCCTCCCATCAGGCTCGCTGGACAAGTACAAGATTCAGGCTATCGATGCCACTGACTCTTGTATCATGAGCATTGGCTTTGAACACCTGGGTAACCACTCTGTCATTTGCTTATGGGAATGCAAGTCATCAGCGGTGATTCTTTGGTTGACTCAGAGTTGTAGTCATAGGTGTGTCCTTTCTTGCCCCTTTCAGCACAATCCAGTTTGCTGCTTCCTGTTCATGATGCTTCATTTTAAATAGAAGTTACTTCCTTTCCTTTCTCTTCTCACTAAGCTTTGTCTCTACCTGCCTTTCTTCTGAGGTATAGGTTTAAAAATCCAAGGCCTTGTTTGCCAAACTGGTGTTGTTGAAAAACCTTCAGTAATGCAGGAATAATTATATCTGTACAACTTCTGTTGTGTGGGCCTGTCCTTGCTCCAGGGCACAGGCATCTGAGTGCAGAATGGTCCCTTCTGTCAGCACAGCTGGTAGATTGAATGAGTATCTTGGGAGATAAAGAGGATGTCTCATTGTTCCAGTTTGCCTAGGACAGAGAGCTTTCCCTAGACACAGGACTTTCAGCCCCAAGACCAGCTTGGTCAGAGGCAAACTAGAATGGTTGGCCATCTCATGGAAAAGTAGAATATGAAAACTGTCCTTTCTTTTTCCCCCTCCCAGAGGGCCTTCAACATGTTGAGAAAATAAGATTGTGCAAGTGTCATTATATTGAAGATGACTGTTTGGAGAAACTTAGTCAATTCAAAAATCTACAAAAAAGCATTTTGGAAATGGAAATAATTTCATGTGGGAATATCACAGACAAAGGTGTCATTGCTCTGCATCATTTAAGGTAGGCGGCTGGTATCAAGTGGAAACTTGATCATCGTTTATTTTACTTCTCTTTCCCAGGGTCCTCAGGCCCTAGAGCAGGCGGGATCATGGAGGTGCATGTGCAGCCTTAAGGATTAGGCTCAGGGCCTCCCACATGCCCAGGAGCCATCTCCCTGCTGGGAACCCCTAATAGGAGAACTGATTTGTAACCAGCTCCGTGCTCTTGGCAGTACCACTAGCTCACACTTGTCATGCAAGTGCCTTAAGCCATCAAGCTACCTTTCAGGTCCCCAAACTTGATAATGATGTTAAAGTGAATATATAATCTGAAATGAAAACATCTGAGGGGTAGTATCATTTTTTTGGTTCTGATAAACAATATATTGCAAGAAAATGAGTACTTCTAAGAAAGTTAAAATGAACATCATCAATGCATTATGATTGCCTTTTTAGGGGACATCTTTCTGAGAACTGAAATCTATAGGAAGCATCAGATGGCGCCAGCTAGTCAGCTTCCACAGGCATTCTCCATTGTGTCTTCTCTCCACAAGCACTGCACCTCACGTGCTTCCAGTCCCTTCCAGACACAGGATGTTTGAGGAAGAAGTTTTAAACATTAGGGTCAAAAGTGCTTGATTGTTTATATCTAATGTTAGTTAGTTGAGGCTTTGAGTTTTTATCTTTTAAGAAACTTGGTGGTGGAGGAGGGGAAATGTTTGTTTGGTTTGGGTTTGGGAGGCCACACCTGGCAGTACTTGAGGATTACTCTTGGTTCTATGCTCAGGGATCCCTCCTGACCATGCTTGGAGACCTTCTGTGGTATCAGGGATCAAGCATCTTACCCATAGCACAATCTCTCTAGCCCTGAAACCTGATTTTCTTTAAGAACTTCCCCAATTTCTTTCCTTTTGGGGGTCAGTATTTATATTTCCCAGGCAAAGGAATTCTGTACAAATATAGAGAATATTTGGAAAGATTCTTATAGAAGTATCAGTACAATTCAGAAGAACTAAACACTTGAACGTCTGGCTTACTCTTCAGTATGAATTTCATTTAAAGAATAAAACTTTGAGAGATCCAAAGAGATTAAGGTGCTCACCAAAAAAAAAATACTATAAGAGCAAGACTTACAAAAGTCAAAGTCAAAGTGATAGTACAGTGGGTAGGAACAGATTTGCCTTGCATGCAACTGACCTGCGTTGGATTTCCCAGCACCAAATATAGTCCTCTGAATACCACCAGGAGTGATCCTTGAGCACAAAGCTAGGAGTAAACCCTGAGCACCAATTGTGCCCCCAAAACAAACAAAAAAGACAAAAGTAATTTTTAAAGTGTAGGGTGATAATGACACATTCAATGTGTAATTTATTTTAAAATAATAAAATTGAAATTATTTTTAATTTTCTTCATAAGATAAGCATTACATTGAAATAACCTTTTTTAATTTCTCTTTAATTTCTCTTTTTGTAGAAACCTCGAGTATTTGTTGTTAAGTGATCTTCCGGGAATAAGAGAAACAGAAAACCTTGTTCAAGCCTTTAAGACAGCACTGCCTTCTCTAGAACTTAAATTAGACCTAAAATAAAATCATAGTACTCAATGAGTATCTTCTTTTAATATAAAGTATCATTGGAAACTTTGATCCTAAACAGTAACAAATCAATATTATCAAAAAGCTATAAGGATGTCCTATATGACATTTTAGAAGCAGAGTATCATATATAGAAAATGAATATTCAGATATGATTCATTAAAGATACTAAGTTGGAAGTGACGATTTATGTTCATTTAATCACTTTAAAGAAAAAAATGCAAACCAAGTAACATTTTAATTCTAATATATTACTCGTCATATATATACACACACATATATACACACATATATGTTTATACACACATATTTATATATATATAAATTTACATGTATATATTTATATATATATATAAATCTGTGGGCCTCCAAACAGGATGGCGGTTCAGTGTGAGGGTCCAGTACTGCAGTGCCACTTGGGCCTGGCAGTGCTGGTGCTGAGGATTAGCAAGCCATCCCACTGGTGCTTGGGGCCTCCTGCGCTGGATCTAACAATGTTTGGGGGACCAGATGGTGCTGGGAACAAACTGGAGACTCCTGCATACAAGGCATGCACCTTACCCCCTATACTCTCTTTCCAGCCTTCTATTGTAATTTAAAAATTATCTATAACACTTTAGTTATTGAAACATGTTACTGTAAATGAGAAATTCATGAAAAATTGAAAGCTCAATCTCAAATTCACTAGTAGAGTTAAAATAGTCAGTGGTAGTTGAGACATCCCAGGATTTGCATGCATTACTCATAATCCTAAATTCCTACATTCTATAACATATTTCCTTTCTCAGAATACTTTCTAATTTATTTTATACACTTAGTCTAGTATTCTGGCTAAATTTTAATTGCTTTATTGATTGTAATAGAATAGAACAATCGTAAAGACCTACACAGCTATACTTTTTTTTTTTTTGCTTAAATTGTAAAAGGTAAAGGTAAAGGCCCTCCCATTGATCGTCGATTTGCTCGAGCGGGCCCAGTAACGTCTCCATTGGAGACTTTGTTGTTACTGTGTCTGGCATATCGAATACTCTCGGTAGCTTGCTGGGCTCTCCGAGAGAAGCAGAGGAATCGAACTCGGGTCGGCCAGGTTGGCCGCGTGTAAGGCGAACTGGTAAGGCGAATGCCCTACCCGAATTGTAAAATGTATATAAAAATTTACAAGTCAATTAGAAATTTATTTTGACTATCAAGTATCTTGGGTACTACTTCCTTTGAGTCAAGAAATGTAAAAAAGAAGTATAAACACAAGATTCAATTTAAATCTCAAGAGCAGTGATAAAGAATAACATACACAAAACAATTTTTTTATTTTTCACTTGCTTGAAATGGCTTTAATTCTGTTATAAGATAATATATCAACTTGGTCAATTTCTGTACATATGATTTATACATTAAACAGTTGAATATAACTTTGTCTGGAAATAATCTTAAATTTTTATGGTGATTTAACATTCAGGTAGAAAAAATGTGTTAGTAATTAAGAAAACAAATAATACATACTGCTTACCAAAATAATTCCCAACATCATTTTAAAAAGTCAGAAAATAGTAAAAATTTAAAAAGACAGTGGTTTAGTACACTGGTGAAACAGTGAAGATTCCATGCTGAAGAAAAGATACAACGAGGGTAAAATTAAGCATAAACATTTACTTACTAGAATTAGAAAAAAATGAGTCCTTCTGTCTTAGGATTGTTTGGCTACTGTGTGATGAGAAAATGGATTCACCAAAATTAGTCTGGAACTACTTTTCTATTCAGAATGGCTTTCTACAAGACTACTGGATGAGGTTGGCAGTTTTAATCATCTGCCTCAATCAGGTGCATTGTTCAGGGTTGAAAAAAAAACCACACAGAATGTAAATTATTCACAGAATCTAGATGTCTTGTCATTTAAATCAATCAATATTGGGGCTACTGTACTTTAACCCTCTGTCAGTTCACTGCATGATTCTACATCAGGAAGCCTGAAGATGGCTGGGATAGCCAAAGTTATTGAATAGAGGCAGTCATTTGGCGAATTACTTTACAGTAAAGGAATGAGGACGGAACGACCATCTCCGAATGTAACAGCTATGTGTACCTAGGTCGAGAGGTCAACATGACAAATGACCTGGCACCCGAGCTGCGCAGGAGGAAGAGAGCGGCTTGGAACGCCTTCAAGAACGTCGAAGAAATAGCTAAGAGGACGAAGAAGAACCTCCGGCTCCGGGCACATCTCTTATTCCACTGTTCTTCCTGCATTAGCATATGCCTCAGAGACCTGGGCCCTACGCAAACAAGATGAGAATGCTATTCAGGTCTCCCAAAGAAGAATAGAAAGAGCTATGCTTGGAATATCACGTTTCACTTAAATGAGAGAACGAATCCGGAGTTCTGACATCTGTCGACGATCAAGAATCAGGGACGCTGTCTCATTTGCCAAGGTGTCGAAAATCAGATGGGCTGGTCACGTAATGAGATTTAAAGACGACCGCTGGACTAGAGCTGTTACTGATTGGATTCCACGGGATGTCAAGAGACCGCGTGGCCGCCCACCTACCAGATGGTCAGACTTCTTCCTCAAGATCATGAACGATCGGTTTGAGGCCCTTCATGTTCCTGGAGCGAACAGATGCCATTGGGCTACACTAGCACGCGACAGGGACAAATGGAGACGTTACTGGCGCCCGCTCAAGCAAATCGACGACTAATGGGAAGTTAAGTGATTAAGTGATTAAAGGAATGAGGTCAGATATTCTCACAAAAGAAAATTAACAGCGATAAAGAGTGCAGAAGCAATCTTCTAAAAGATATAGTAAAATAAGAAAATGAGAAAAGCTAGGAAGCAGCAGCACATTTAAAGAAAAATGGTCTATAAAAAACTGACATGGACATGCAGTTTCCCTGTGTCTGGGAGACAAGGATAAAAAAGTCTGAATAGAAGCTACTACAGACCAATTGGATGCTTCATCTGTATCACTATACAAAGTTAGCAATCCTCAATATCATTTGGACTGCTTTGTTTTTAGTTGTTATATGTTGTTATGATAGCATATATGTATGTATACTTAAACACATAAAGACATGCCTTTCAGGGTGGAAAAAAAGTTTATGGCCTAATCACTTTTACAACCCAAATAATAGTTCACAGGCTGTTTCTTCCAAAACCCAGATCACTGATCACTATGTATAGTCCTGCCTATATGACACGTCTAAGGCTGAGCTGGAGAGAATGAAGCACTAATTATCTTGCAAGCTTTTCAAAAGCAAAGGCTCAGTTCCTGTGATGTCTGTAGGCCTTGTTCCATCCCTTGACACCCCCTGGTCAGTCACCAGGCTTCATGCCATTATTTACAAGGGAGAATTGGATGAACAAGTGTACATGCATGACAATAATGACTGCCTGCTAAAATGTCTTATGACAGTCCATTACTAAAATTAAATACAGAAATACATGTTAAGAAGTACCTATACAGCATTTAATACAGAAGTATATAAATGCTAGTGTTTTATAAGGACCTACATTACTTTAAATATTTGAACTCCTTAATATTCTTGGAATGTTTTAAAATATAAAAATCAAAACAGAAAGTAAGAAGTGGAATTTCAAACATTTGGATTTCAAGAATAAGAATTTTCCCTATGATACTGAGACAATCTATAAAGGGAGAAGATAGGATTAAGAAAACAGACCCAAGGAAATACCTGTCGGCATTTTGTTATTCCTTTTCATATGTTACATATAGTACAACTGGAGCATAAATTTTGCCAGCACAAAATCCACTTGTATTCTACCCATAGATTCAGTTATTTACAACAAAGAATATAAGTGAAAACCTAAGTTTCTCCTTTCTGTTCTAGTTACCCACATCAAATATGAAGACTACATCTGGAATTTCCCACCATATCTTGCCAAGTAGCCTCCTGGTTAGTTGCTTAAGTTCTCTCAATGTTTTTTCAACATTGTGATTGTTTTTAGTCAAACGTATGTTTAATTTTCTTCAAGTTTTTGATCGTCCTTTTTTTCTTATCAGTCTCCAAGCTCCTTAAATGTTTGGAAAGCGATAGTTAAGTTTCTTGGTATTATAGTAGTATTTCTTAGTATCCAAAGCTGGAAGGATACTGCTGTTAGTCAGCTGAGGTAGGTGTTGCAACTGAAAATATAAAACACAGAATTAGGGTCAGAAAATAGTACAGGGTTTTTCCTTACTTTTGGCTGACCCTGGTTCACCCCTGAGTACCACCTATCCCCTGTATACCACCAGGAGTGATCCATGAGCACAGAGCCAGGAATAACTCCTCAAAGTGTGAACCAAAATAAATAAACAAAAAATCACAGACTTATTCATTGCCATAGACTTTTTTCATTATTGATAAAACATCACAAAAGAAATACAGAAGGTTTTGTTTTGTTTTTAGCATAGAAACACCTTTTCTGCTAGGTGTCCAAAATCTGAAAAGAGAACACAATATTTAAGTCTAGTCTTTGCTTTCCTTCAAAAGATTTAACATTAAAAACAAAATGCATATGTTAAAGAAAATATGAAGGCCAGGGGGAAATGAAGATGGAAACAGAGGTTACATAGGACAACGGTGGGGGATTATGGGTACTTTAGTGCGGGTGGGGTGCTGTAACTTTGTATATCAAAATCATAAACATTAATACTCTTGTAATATATAATCTGAACTAAGACAACTTTTAAGTAAAACACTTTTAAAATCTACATGTTAATATTTTTTTGGGGGGAAAAAAAGCATAGCTTCCCAGGAGTTGGCCTGCCGTGGCCTTAGGGATCATTTAAGCTAGTGCCTTGCCTTAGAGCAAAGAATGCTGATCCTTGGGACCAAAGAGATAGTAAGGGGAGGGAGTGAGACATGTACCTTGCATGGAGCTGACCCTGGTATGGTTATATATGGTCCCCAGAGCACAGAGCCAAGAGTAAGTCCTGAGCACTGCTGGGTGTGGCCCAAAGGAGGTAGGGGGAAAGAATACTGATATCCAGGGTACTTAAGTAATTTGTCCACTAAATATGTACATAGCTTGTTCTTTTGATCAGGAAATATTTCCCTCAAAAGCATTTATCTTTTATTTAAAGTAAGATCAAGCTAAGGAAAGAGTATCTTTCCAGTCTGTTTTTCTATGTAGGTCATCTGACAGAATAAAATAGTTATTCTTCCTCCTCCCCCTTTCCTCTCTACATGTTAATATTCCCCTCCTCCTCTTCCTCCTTTTTCTCCTCTCCCTCCTTCTCCTCTTCCCTCCTCCTCCTCCTTTTCCACCTTCTCCTCTCCTCCCCCTTTCCCTCCTCCTCTTTCTCCTCTTCTCCTGTTTTGGGATCATACTTGGCGGTGCCCCAGGGCAATTCCCAGTGCTATGCTAGAGGTTATTCCCCTGTGGAATTCAGAGGACCACGTAGTACTGAGGCTAAAACCTGGGCCTCCCACATGCAAAGTCTGTGCTCCAGCTCTTTGAGCTATCTCCCCAGCCAAAATAAAGCCATTCTTAATTTCACGGTTCTGGTCTATCTTATAGGCCCAGAATTCATGCAGAACTTATTCCTGATAAGCTGTTACCTAAAGGAGGATATTCACTCCTCTAAGTCTCAAATACTCCTAGCTATCATTCATGTTCTGGGCAGTGGAGACTTAAAAGAAGAGAGGAAGGTTAGATAATTTATAGCTTAAGAGGTACTTAGGCAGATCCTGAAGTAACCCAGGAGCAGCTAGCTCATCTTAGCTGAGGTTACAACTTCAGCCCACTTATTACAGCTTTTGATTTATAACATAACATGGAAGACCATCTGGGTACTTTACACCAGCTGTGATTCTTTACAGGTCCCCAGTGTGCATTTTAGACACTTTTTTTTTTTAATTAACTAGGTGTTCTGCAGCTCTCACCAAACACACTCACCACCCTGTTTGCTCTCAATGACTCTGATGATCCCTTTTCTAGATAAACCTGGAATATAAATCAACTGAAGGCAAGAGTGATGACAGTGTAACATGGGATAAATCTGACATGTTTTTCCAAAGCCTAACTATATGCTGCTGGACCCACCCTAGAGTGCCTGGCTGAGAATCTGAGTTCAGACAGGCCCAGATAGCTAAAGCCTCTAGCAGCAGGAAATGACAAAGCAAAGATGACTTTGGGATTCAGGAAGAAGAAGGCAGCGCTCTACGAATGTTCCTGGGGAAACCATCCATATACCATCTAGGGCTGGAATGAGTGTGCTGGAGCTATCGGCACAACTGCCACCTTGAGTATAGATAGAAACTGCATTAGGGTAGGATGAGATTTGACATTACAACTTTAGATGCATCAGTAAGCATTTTTACCCCCGGCAGATGCTTTCGACTTGGTCTCAGTGTCTTTCTCACTGGTTTATCAGGTCCTTTGGCCGAATCTGCTATTGCTCGGATGCTGTCAAAATACGGGTGCAGCAACAACTGTTCACAGGTCAGCCTCTCTGCAGGATTCATATGGAGACAGCCCTGCAAAAACACAATTTCCTCTTCTTATTTCTTTAACGTAGTACTAACTTGCAAGTGTCTTTCCTTTACCCTCTTTGAAAGACTGAGTTGTAGTTGAAAATAGGAAGCAAGGGAATCAGGAAAAACACACCAGTAATGATTTCAGATTCTTTCACAAACATTCCTCAATGGGAAGTCACATAAGGAATCATTTTCAGAAATAGCAAAAAAAAAAAAAAAATGTTTTCTCCACCTTTTTCTTGGCAGTTGGTGTTCTACCCTGAGGGAATCAATAATCAAATCCTACATACTCAAAAATCACAGAAATTATCTATTTTATGAGTTTTGGCCTTGCAGATTAGGTTTTGGGGGTTAGAAAGAAATAGTACAGGGGTTAAAGCACATAGCTTGTAAGCAGTCTACACCAGCTCAATCTCTGGCATGACTTGGACCCCCAAGCATTGTTGGGTACAGCTCTGGAGGCTCCTTGAGCACTGCTGGGTGTGGTAATGGATACCTTGAGCATCAATGCGATAGCCTGGTAATACCAGGCACCACAGGGCCCTTACATCAACCCCTCAGTCTGTTTGTCTGAGAATTTCCAGGAAGAGCCCTTGAGCCTTCTGAGTACCACTTGGGAGATGTCCATCAAAAGTAACAAATACATTTAAAAATTAAAAATAGTTTTTTTTTAAAACTTAGTAATACTACCTACTCATGGTAAAGGTAAAATTCATACAGCAGCAATCTCTTCTAATTTTCATTCTCCCTTCTACGACCAATTAGTCCTTTTTTTTTCTTTTTGGGTCACACCCAGCAATGCACAGGGGTTACTCCTGGCTCTGCACTCAGGAATTACTCCTGGTGGTGCTCAGGAGACCATATGGGATTCTGGGAATCGAACCAGGGTCGAGCTGCATGCAAGGTAGATGCCCTACCCACTGTGCTATCACTCCAGCCCCGGACCAATTAGTCTTTTAAAGGTAAAGGTAAAGGTAAAGGCCCTCCCGTTGATCGTCGATTTGCTCGAGCGGGCCCAGTAACGTCTCCATTGGAGACTTTGTTGTTACTGTGTCTGGCATATCGAATACTCTCGGTAGCTTGCCGGGCTCTCCGAGAGGGGCGGAGGAATCGAACTCGGGTCGGCCATGTTGGCCGCGTGTAAGGCGAATGCCCTACCGCTGTGCTATCGCTCCAGCCCTTTTAAAAATACATATAATCTTCCAGAAAGGATCTATAAATTGAAAGCATATGTGTATGCATGATGGAAGGAAAAGTATAATATTGATGCTTATACATAATTCTTAACTATTTGCCTTGCCATTAAGTGGGCCATAAGATTCTGACTTAGATGCATCATCTTGAACAAATACGTACTCCAAGGAACTGTCTGAGTATTATTACTATATGCACATGAAGTAAGTGAATTATATGCTTTTTGAAATTACTGGAACATTGGCTATAACTTGGAAAAATATATTTTGGGAGGTTTGGGGACCATACTAACAGTGCTCAGAAGTTACACTCAGCAGTGCTCCTGGGATTATAGGTGGTGCCAGTGACCAAACTAGGGTGAGCCATATACAAGGTCAGTATCTTACCCCCTGTAGTATCTAGTCCCTCATGAAAATATTTAAATTAGTATCTAATTTTATATAAAGACTATATGTTAATAAGAATGCACAATAAATCAAGTTTTAAAATTGAAGCCAACTTCAAATGTATTAGGAAATTAGCTATTTTAAAGAATTCTTTCAAAAACAAACAATTTAAAGGATTCTATATCATACAGTCTGGTAATTGCACTCCTCAGCATTTATCCAATTGATATTAAAACAAAATTTTCACAATTTGAGAAGATAATCAGAGCAGTGATATTCACAATAGCCCAAACATGGGATTAACCTAAAGGCCCATTAAAGATGAGTAGATAAAGAAGTGTGGCTTATATATAGAATGAAATGTGATTCTGCCATTTAAAAAGCTGGAATTGGGCCAGGGAGATGGTGCAAGGACCAGAGTATATGCTCTGCTGCAGGAACCCCACCTTTAATCCCCAGCACTTCCTGATCTCCTGAGCACTAGATGTAACCAATTTCCATGGAAATATGAAATTGTACTATTTGGGATGAAATGAATGAAACCTGGAGTGATTATGGCAAGTGAAATAAGAAAGGAAGTGAAAGACAATTACCGGATGCTTTCACTCATCTGTAGAATATAAATAACTACAGCAAATAAGCTGGCAGAAAACAACAAAACTAACTCTAAGATTCAGTGAAAACTATGGCACTGGAACCTTGGTGAAGTGTCCGAAGATTCCTACAAACGCAGAAAGGTACAATGCTAGCACTTACAAGTTCTCTAACGTTGCAAACTAACAAGAAATCAATACAAAAGAAGAGGTCTTCTAACTAAAACTTTTCCTTTAAAAGAATTCTTTTGTAAAACAATCCTCTGAAAATTCTATTTTGAGGAAATTTAGATTTTGAATACAATGTCGTGTTTCTTTAACATGTGTTTTCACTGTACTGAATTATGACCCACTTTAGAGACTGAAAATATGTGAGCTTTTCAAAGAAGAATGCTAAAAGGAATCCTTTTCTGTTTATGGGTTGATACAACACATTCCTATTCTGTTGTGAGCTTCTCGGTCTAAAAGAAACCACAATTTTACCTTTAGAAGTCCCATGGCTGGATAAGAAATACTTGGAAATTTTAATTCAAGTGGTTCCTGTTTTTTTTATTTAAAAAAAAGCGGGGGAAGGGGAGAAAAAGAGAAAGGAGTGTTATTGGCAGCACGTATTTAAGTACAAGAATATGTTTCCTTTGCATGAAAAACGCATCTTTCTGTCATCTTTCTTGCCCTGAACTCTCTGCCCACCCCACCTCCAAATGAACTAAAACAACCTCCCAAAGGTCTGTTTCACAAGCACCCTGTCTCCACCCACAAACTTTATAAAAAATTTTCTTCAAAGTTATTCTTTTTATTTACTCCAGAACTAATGCATGAAACAAGTGACTGAGAAACCAACTTCATCAACCTTTCCTTTTTTTTCCTCTTTTTCCTGCCTCAATATATACAACTTGCTATTCGTCAGAATGATTTTTGGCATTTACATAAAAGGAGCCTCAATTATTGCATTTATTGAAAATCATGTAAAAGAGAGGCTTTAAGAAGATTTTTCCCTTCACCCAGGTGGACAGATGCTTCTTGGCTTTCTGGAGTAAATACTGCTGTCTACTCCCTCAAGAGCTTGCTGTTTCCTGGATAATGGGACTGTTGAAAGAGTCTCCCCAGAAGACATTCATCAATCACCCTGTGGCCAAATAAGGCCATTTTGCTCTAGCCACATGCTGGAGACAATCAGGAATAACAGCCCCCATGAAGTAGGAATGATGCCCAGTGCCTGCCAGACACCCAGGCCCATGAAAGAAATACTGACTTGGAGGCTGACCTAAGCGGGGAGCTGGACTGTGCCTGCCACACGGAGTGACACAGATGAGTGCATTATGTGTGGAAAGATAACAGCGGGTGAGTGGGGGCAGAAGTGACTGGCCAGGTTTATTTCATGAAGCACAGCCCCAAGTGCTCTGGTCATGTTTAGAGCTCTTTGTTCCTTTGAATAGGGAACCAGTCTGCCAAAAGACAAATTCCCAGGAGTACACTTAACTAATCACTGATAAGAGGCCTCCATCTGGGATTTCCCTGGGATCAACAGGGGAAGAAAGGTCCCAACGTGGGTTTGCATTAGCATGTGAGCGTAACCTTCTCATTCCCTGGTTCTCTGTGTTGGGTCACTGACGCAGCATTGTAGACTTGAAGCTCTGCTATCTCAGCAAGGAGCCTGGGCTGAAGCCAGCGGGTTGGCTTGTGACACACAGGACCCATCCTGCCGGCTTAGCCAGTTTCCCAGTCCCAGAAGCCAGTAGGCCTCTCCTCAACAGGGTGACTGACCGGCAGAGGGACAAGGACGCAGATGTTCACCAGTTCAGCCCCCACACTGCTTTTTCCTGTGTTTCTGTCAACAGGAAATCCCCCGCAGGACAACCTCTGGGAAGCCATGGGAAGCTGTCTGCGTTTATGAACTCTGGGTTGTTTCTGAGGCGGCAAGGCAGGCCAGTGAGCAGGAAATCGCGAAGGGATATTTAGTGTGGAGCTGGGAATGTCCAGGTCACAAGGGAGCCTGCTGGGTCACCTCCCATATGTCAGGTGTCATTCCTGCCTCTGTGTCCCAGCACGCTCCCAGCATGACCCACTTTTCCTACTGCTAATACTGGGGGCTGGGACTTCTCTGTGAAGCAGGCCAAGTGGTGGTGGGAACAGACTAGTTAGTTGCCCTTTCTCCGCTGGAAATGGCTGCATCTTCAATCTGGGTGCTAAGTGGCCAGAGGATTCTTTTCCATTTTAAAACACTTTCCTTGGACAGTGGAACTTGCCTTGCTTAATGTGCTCATACTTGGAATTGTCTCTGAGGATAATATTGGCATTCAAGAATATTGCTTTAAAAACATAAAAAAAGCAAACCAATCACCATCACACCCGGCCCCCACCTCCAGTAAGAGAAAGCCACCGTGAATATCTGGGAATATATCCTTGCAGCCTCTTATTTTTCACAGAAGAGCTTTGCATGATTTTTAAGTGGCTGTCATATTGTTTTGTATTAATATATAAAAGTATATGTATTTATTATATATTGAATAGTTGTTATATCACATTATAGTGTCTGTTTTACAACCCTCTTTTTCACTTAGCAATAATGTATAAAATTTTGTGTGTGTGAATTTAATTATTTTTACTGGTCATCTGGTATTTCTAATGTGGGGGTTGGTCATAAATTAATTAGGGGCCAGATAGATAGTACACTTAGTATGGCACTTGCCTTGCATGTGGCTGACCAGGGTCCAATCCCCACATGGTCCCCTTAGGAGTTGCCCTGAGCATAGAGCTGGGAGTAAGTTCTGAGTACTGCTGGCTGGGACCTCCCCCCAGATTATTTTATTAACTCCTTACTAATGGAAGTGGTTTCTCTTAAAGAATGCTAATGAATTCTGATTTACTAATGAATGGTTTCACTGGGGTGGAATCTTGGAAGGGTATTGCACATTCAAAAATTTTCAGTTTTTAAAGAATGAGTATTTCCCACTCTGGCCACAGACAACAAACACCAGAGTGAGGCTTGCCAAGCAAACAGATTACTGTTTTCTCCAGGGACCTGGGGAGTGAGAGCACAGTAGAATAGGGGATTTGGACAAGGCTGGATTTTCCTGGATGAGTCATTATCTAAAAGCTGACTGCTTTTCTCTGTTGAAAACGATGAGGGGCAGGCAAGGCGAAGACAGGCAGCTCTGCATTCCTGACCAATATGCTGGCTAACTCAGCCGTCAGCAGTCTCTGAATTATCCCTGAAGGCAAAGGTCTTGCCAATTCCTTGGCTCTAATTCTCTCTCCCATTGTTTTTTTTATTGCACTTTTTAAAAAAATTATTGAAAAAATACAGAACTCTTCACAAATTTGCGTGTCATCCTTGCGCAGGGGCCATGCTAATCTTCTCTGTATCGTTTTCCAACTTTAGTATATGTGCTGCCAAAGCGAGCACCTCTCCCACTCTTAGGCTGGCTTTTGGTGCAGGGAGGCAATAGAGAGCTAAGGCAGGCAGTGACTACAAAAACCACATCTGCTTGCAACTCACTTAAATGCCCTAAATGCCCTAGAATCTGCCATAAAGTGCCCTTTCCAAAACAGATCACTTACCATATCTTCAGGGTCTGGAATTTTCACCCCACTGAAGTACTGATTCATACTAAATACTTGCTGGTGCCTAGGAATGAGATCTCCTTTGAACAAGAAGAGGGTAGTAAAGTGAGACCAGTTAGCAAGCAAGGATGGTATCTGCACCCACACCTACACAGTTGATGATTTTCTCTTCCAATAAGATGGAGAGGCATGCAGATAAATATCAACAGCATGTGTTGAGATTTATTATAAATAGAACACTGTATAAAGCACAGAAACCGAAAAATGACACGAACCCCAAAGTTCCAGGTAAGAGTGTACTGGCCTAGCCCTTAACTAGCCTACCCAGTAAGCTTCCTATCAGTGGAATCCAAACTTGCTGGGCTGGGTCAACTCAAGAGTATACAAAGAATGAATGATACCAACATTATCAATAAAACAAAACACAAGAGCATTCTTTTCATTGCCAGGTCTTCCTAAAAATGACTGTTAGACTGTTGCATTGATCATTATTCAGAGTTTAACTTGATCCAAACTATGCCTGATGAAAGAATTATATGGGTTTTCTTTCAAGACACACTCTTCATTCTTTTATGAAAAAGTGGATGCAGTTTATGGAATCATTTGAATCAAGGTTTGAGAGCTTCTCTTTTCTGTAACTGTAAAGGATATTGACTGAGACTAGAAATTTGGCTCTGCCCTGCACTAACCATTTTGACATAGAAAAAATGAGCTAGTTTCCCAAAAGCAGGACAAAGATGCCACTTACCCAAGGTTTTCCTAATCAGGTAGAGCTGATCCACATCTGATTTTCCTGGCCACAGAGGCAGACCTGATAGGAGCTCAGCAAATACACAGCCAATTGCCCAAACATCTACAGGAGGGCCATACTGTGTGTCCCCCACCAACAACTCTGGGGAGCGGTACCACCTGGTAGCCACATAATCTGTATAGTAGTCACTTGGTCCGGCTGGCCAATCATGGGACATGAAAGACAAAGAGAGCAGTAACAGGTTGCCATCAACACGAGGTGGGTGGAAACTTAAGAAATTAAACATGAGGGGATGGAGAGATAGTACAGTGGGTAGGGTGCTTGCCTTGCACATGTCCAACCCGGGTTTGATCCCTAGCATCCCATATGGTTCCCCAAACACTGCCAGGAGTAATTTCTGAGTGCAGAGTCAGGAGTAACCACTGAGCATTAATGAGCATAGCCTCAAAACAAAACAAAACAAAAATCAAGCATAGGCTCCATTTGTGGCCCTTATAAAGCAATGGTTCTCAGTCCTGGTTGCCCATTGCAATCATTTAGAATATAGCATTTTCAAAATTATTGAAGCTTTGGTCCCAATATGGTCCCCAAGCCCCCAGAAACCCTGATTGCGAGTCTGGGAGATATCAGTAGGGTTTTTGTAGTTAGAGTTTACAATTTTCCAGATGGTTTTAATCTGTGGCCAAAGTAGAAAAACCACTCTTCTAAAATACTTTTGTGAAGTACTATTTTAGCCAAAAATGACAGAAACCAGGAGTGTAACATTTTTAAATAACTACTTTATGGTGGCATTATTTTTATATAATAAACATTTTGAGCTATTATATATGTCTATATCTTCCAGAGAATAGAGTATTGGGATTCACATTGGAAATCATAAGCTCTAAATATGTATGAACTAGCTTCCTATAGCATCTACAGCCTTCTTCCTATAAAGAATCTTTCCATGTTTTACACTTTACTAAACATGTGAATACTCACTCAAAAGCCGAGCAAATCCAAAGTCACAAAGTTTGATCACTGAATGCTTTGTGATGAGGATATTTTCTGGCTTCACATCTCTGTGTATGCACTAGTCACAAAAAAATCAAAATAAACTTTGTTTATTAAGGAGAGACTCTAATATATGAGATAAATAAAAGACATGACTAGTTAGCAAACCCTTGAGAAACAATTTGAGCACCTCCAGTTAGAACAGAGAAGGGATCACTATGACCATGACAGAAATGATCAAATGATCACTCTGGACAAAAACTGAATACTGAAAGGATGTAAAGGCATATGAATGATAACCTTTCAGCACCTGTATTGTAAACCATAATTCACAAAATGAAATATCTGCCATAGAGGTATGTTGGGGAGGGGTGGCAGAAAGGAAACAAGGGACATTAGAGGTGGAAAATGTGTACTGGTGAAGGGACAGGTGTTGGAACATTGTAGAACTAAAATCCAATCATGAACAACTTGATAAATGTGCTAAATCTCATCAGTTTAGTGAGATTTAAACACAGTTAAATCTCATGGTGATTCAATTAAAAAATAAAATTAAAAAACAAAACAAAACAAAAAAAAACAAATTGAACCCCTCACAGACAATAGGCTGCAGAAGAGCCGACTAAAATAAATCTATCAAACATATCATTGCCTGAATCATCTGAACTTTTAAGGGTGCCTTCCCCAAAGCATCAGTTTTTTAAAAATTTTTATTTATTTATTTATTTTAATTTTTATTAGTGAGACATCATGAGGTACAGCTGTAGACTTACAAATTTTCGTGCTTGGGTTTCAATTATACAATGATCAAATACCCATCCCTCCACCAGTGCCCATTTGTCACCACCATGGATCCCAGTATCCCACCCACCCGCCATCTCCTCCCATCCCACCCTGTCTCTGTGGCAGGACATTCCCTTTTTTCTCTCTCTCTTATTGGGTGTTGTGGTTTGCAAAAGAGGCAGTGGGTGACAAAGCATCAGGTTTTTAAAAGAGAAAATGAAAGTTGGAAAGTTGGGCAGCTAGGTTAAGCAAATAAAAACATAGTCCACACAGTTATATTTGGATTCCAGTAAAGTAAAAGTAAAGGCCCTCCCGTCGATCATCGATTTGCTCGAGTGGGCCCAGTAACGTCTCCATTGGAGACTTTGTTGTTACTGTGTTTGGAATATCGAATACGTCATGGGGAGCTTGCCAGGCTCTGCCATGCGGGCGAGATACTCTCGGTAGCTTGCCGGGCTCTCCGAGAGGGGCGGAGGAATCGAACTCAGGTCGGCCATGTTGGCTGCGTGCAAGGCAAACGCCCTACCGCTGTGCTATCGCTCCAGCCCTTGGATTCCAGATAAATACTTTTTTTTAAGTGCAAGTATGCTATCTAACTAAGTATTATTTATCTGAAATTTTTATTTAAGTAGTACTCCAGAATTTATTATTTAACTAGTACTTTGGAATCCTGGTGAAAGGAAATGCTAAACGCTCTGGATGAGGCCGACAAGTTGTAGAAACTGCAAGTTAGTGCGTAAAACAAACTCAAAAGTCGTTATTGAATGAGAACAGAACACAGTGGGCTGGTAAACAGGACAGGCCCTGGGCCTGCTGAGATAAGCTGGGAAGAGAAGGGCAGTACCTCAAGCTTGCCAAGAGCCTCCCTTCCAGCTCTGACATATGTCCTGACAAGATAAACACCAGTCTGCAGGGCTCACCCTCTGGAATTTGTCGCTAGGTGTCAGCTCCATCTCACACACATCAAGGATTCTGAGCACTGCACCCACCTCATCCTGTACTGGGGACTCAGATCACCTCTGCTTCCAGAACCACTTCTGATTTTGGTTAACAGAGTAATGTCACCAGGAAGAACATTTTAAACACATGGCAGCCCAAATGATAGAACAGAAGGTAAGGCACTTGCCTATGGTCCCCTGCGCCCACCAGAAGACACCTCTGAGGACACAGCCAAGAGTAACCCCTTGAGCACCACGGGAGCGACCCAACCCTGTCCCTGACCCTCCCCCACCCCCAACCCTGCCACAACCAAAGTCTTCTTATGACTGTCTCATTAAATAGCACTGTAGCACTGTCCTCCCGTTGTTCATCGATTTGCTTGAGTGGGCACCAGTAATGTCTCCATTGTGAGACTGTAGTGACAGCACAGTAGGTAGGGCATTCACCTTGCACGTGGCCGACCCGAGTTCGATTTCTCGGTTCCTCTCGGAGAGCCTGACAAGATACCAAGAGTATCCTGCCTACAAGGCAGAGCCTGGCAAGCTCCCCGTGGCGTATTCGATATTCCAAAAACAGTATTAAATTGCAAATTAATAATTTCAAAAAAACCTCTGGTTGATTCAAAATACTGCTCAGTGATCCTAATCATCTTTCCTCACCACCCAAGCGCTTCCTCTGGAGAGGAATTTTGGGTCCACCCAATCTGAATAATGCTCTTTTGGCTAGCAGTCAAAACCTGGTTAGAGGGGGGGTGTCTTGACTTTCTAGAATTTGGAGAGAAGACAAATTAGAATTTGAGAAGGATTCTCCTTGAGCATTGTGACCTTAGTTATTCTCCCCAGAGGACTCTTTCAGAGTGAAAGTGCAGTGTCACTGTTCCCGTGGGTATTTTCCTGAAAAAACAATTTCTGAAATTAAAAAAAAATTACAATCTATTTCTTTCCCAGCAAGATGGTGCTGAGATCTCAATTCTTTTATTTAAAAAAAAAAAGAAGGGGGGCTATACTCAGTGGAACTCTAGGAAGACTCGGGGCCACCCCTGCAATAAAGACCTGATGGTTCTTAAGAGTCTTGGCAATACTGGGGGAGGAATGGCTGGCGTGTGGTCCTGGGCTCTGAGCTTCCAGCCTCCTTATCCATCCTTGGCATGTACTCTATGACTTGCATTGTATCTGTAGCCCAGGGCACACCACTCTTTTAAAAATTAATTCATTTATGTTTGTATATACCATAAATCACTGTATTATATTTTTATATCACAATCAATCAATCACAACCATTCTGTTATTCGTCGATTGCCTCGAGCAGGCCCCAGTAATGTCTCCTTCGTCCTAGCCCTGAGATTTTTTTTAAAAAAGTGCCATATTCAAGGCTCTTTCAGAGTTAGGAGAATGAGACACTTCATTGTTACTGGTATTTGGCATATTGGGTACGCCACGGGGAGTTTGCCAGACTCTGCCGTGTGGGCAGGTAACATTCGGCAGCCTGCCAGTTTGTCCAAAGTAGGAATGAGATGATAAGATGTCACGCGGGACAACATTTTTATATGTTGACCTTATTTAAACACCATGGTTTACAAAGTTGTTCATCATACAGTTGTTTTGGGCATTCAGCGTTTCAACCCCAATCCCATCACCAGTGTGATTTTCCCTTCACCATTATCCCCAGTTTCCCACCTTCCCCTAAGTCTGCTCCCCAGCAGGTACAAAATAATTTATTTTATATTGCTTGTTATAACAAAACGGTAAACAAAATGATCAAAAAACTTGTCCACTGAAGGAAAATTTGTGAAAATGTTTCTGTCACACAGTGGTGTGCTGCACTCTTCGCCAACAGACTTTTAGAATTACATACATGGGCTCCCTGTACTGAGCTGGCAGATGGGCAGAAGTGCTTGAAGCAAAAATGTGCCTCTCTTCTGTCCTGGGAATTCTTTGCGAGTTCCAGCACTCCCTCCTCCCTCCCACCCCTGCGCAGTGATGAGGCCAAATAGTGCTTCTGAGGCTCTCCAGGGAAGTATGGTTTGCAGGAATGCTCTCAGCTCTTCAGCACCTCCATCTTCCCCTCAGGGCCTTAGTTCTGCCTTTCTACTGCCTGGTCCCCAAACCTCTTCTAAAGAAAGTACCAAGCCTTACTCACAGGAAAGACCAATATACACGCTCTATCCTGCCTGACTCAGTTTGACAGAGCGTGTAGCGTTCAGCTTGATGCCGTTATGCTCATGTTCCTCCCTCTGAATACAGAATCTTTCAGAAGAGTACCAGGCAGGAACTCAGCCACATCTGCTAAAGGACCCTCTCCACCCCCTCACCACCCCCCTGCCACGAACCTGCCCCAAAGCTGGGAGGAGGACATGCTGCCCTCAGCTTTCCAATGGGGCTGGAATGAAACTGGAACACTGGCACCCCAGTGAGGGCAGTGGGGGGACGCAGTGTGGAACTGCTGGGAGCAGCAGATTCCCCAGCATGTGTGAGTTTACATCCCTGGGCAGCACCCCACCCCCAGCCCCTGCTCCTCGCCCCAGTTTGTGGCTGGGAGTGTGAGACACTCCCACTGGGCTCCTTAGTTACAGACTTGGCATGCATAGGAATCTACCTATGACACCCGGATTCTCCCCAATTTCAGGCCATAACAGACTTCGGTAAATGAAATTCTAATCTGAAGGCATTTCTATTTAGCATAAACATATGACTCTTATCTTAAAATCATAAAACTGCATCCTCTGTGTAATTTAGAAAGAATAGATTGGAGGTGTTAGAGTGATAATGCAGTGGGTAGGGTGCTTGCCTTGCATGCAGCTGACCTGGGTTCAATCTCTGGTACCCCATATGGTCCCCCAAGCTTAGCCAGGAGGGATCCCTGAGTGCAAAGACAGGAGTAATTAACCCCTGAGTATGTCGGGTGTGCCCCCAAACAAAACCAAAATAAAGTTATATACGAATAGATTGGCATTAAAATTTTTAAACTAGAAGCTGAAGTGATAGTATAGTGTTTGCCTTGTATGCGGCCTACCTGGGTTTGGTCCCTGGCAACCCATATGGTCCCCCTACCATCACTAGGAGTGATTCCGAGTACAGGGGCAGGGTGTGGCTGGGTGTGGCTCAGATACCAAAAAAAAAAAACCCTTTTAAAATTATTGTTACTTTTTTGTAGGTTGGCATTTTTAGTCTCTATTCACCACCCCCACAACCTCCCATCGCACCCCCCAAACACATGCACCACACAAACCAGGCTTAAGAAGATGATTTGGATGTGTGTGTATGTGTGTGTGTATGGGGAGGGGGGCGTTGTTTGTTTGTATTTGGAAGTACTGCTATTCTTTGGCAGGGGACATAACCAGCCCTGTTCCAGGCTTTCTCCTGGCTCTGTATTCGGGAATCACTCCTGGAAGTGCTTGGGGACCATATGGGATGCTGGGGATTGAACCCATGTCATTGGTGTGCAAGGCAAGTGCCTTACCTGCTATGCTATTACTCCAGCCCCAAAAAGATGATTTGGGTGGAAAATTATACCTGCAAAAGTAGGATATAAACTTTGAACACAAGCCCCACCTCAGCTTATGGGAATCTTCTAATTTTTCAAGGGAGATAATAAGACTTACATTGTGTTTATGGCAAAAATTTACAGCTTGCAGTGTCTGCCAAATTATGCTCTTCACGAGATGTTCTGGCACCCTGAGGAAAATAAAGCAACACAAACACATCTTTTAGTGTAACCAACTGATTGCGCTCCAAAAAAGAGGGAAAAGGAAACCAAGACAGACTTAAGCAGTGCAAAGCCTTGGGTAACAGGGTTATCTATCTAGTTCCTCATTCCAGAGCTTTGGGAGTGCAGAGACAATGTGATCCTCACATTGCTGGATTCCAGGGACTGCGAGCCAACAATAGTGCTGACAGCTGACATGTATACATGTACATCTACAGGGAGCGGCCATGAAAACCCACAGGAATTTCCACCAGAATTCATGGTTTCCTACTTCAAGCTCCTGTGACACCACTGGGCCACTTCCTGGTAAAGTTAGTAAATATACTGCACAAAAAGATGCTGTTTATTTCTTCCAGGGTACCCTAAACCAATGGTCTGGAAGCAGACTCAACCTCCCATGTCTGGGCACCTGGTTTCTCAAACTCCTAAGCACCTTTCCTTTTAAGATAATGAAGATTTTACCAAAGAGGTTTACATTGCACACCATGTAACAAAAGTTAATAACCATTAAAAATCTACCAACTGCATCTTGGTTCTTTCCCCCTCTGCTCTACTCTTCTCTGATAACTAGTTGCATCTGCTGACAATTTTTTTCCCTGTTCTCTGAGTCTCTAAACATGAAGATGTTGCTGGGCTTCACACTTCTTTCCTGGCTCTAAACTTACACAGCTGGGGCAACTGGACACCCCCTCCCCCCAGCCCTAGCATGTCCTTTGTGCAAATTAGAAAAAGACTCTTCCTTTCAGACATTAAAAAAATTGAGGGGGGCTGGATCGATAGCACAGCGGGTATGGCGTTTGCCTTGCACACAGCCGACCCGGGTTCAATTCCCAGCACCCCATATGGTTCCCCAGCACTGCCAGGAGTAATACCTGAGTGCAGGGCCAGGAGTAACCCCTGTGCATTGCCAGGTGTGACCCAAAAAGCAAAAAAAATGAGGGAATGCATGAAACAGAAAGACTATATTCAGCTTCAGAGAGTTCACTCACTGGCTGGACTTAAACACTTGCTGTTGTTTTTGTGGGTGTCAGGGAGCAATGCACTTACTGGGTTTTATAATCAAAGGTTCCACAGTGTGGAGATTGTAAGTTGGAACAAGTAAACAAAGGAGAACACTTTTGAGTAGTTATGTTTAATGAAGCCCCCACAAAAGTCACGTTCAGACAGAGTGGGGTTCTCAGGCCACTATTGTCACAGGCCAGATGTTCAGGAAATCCTCTACAGCAGATGGGAGGAGGCCTGAACAGTGGGACAGCGGGCAGGAAATGCGGAGGCCACTTCCCGGAAGAGGAGCTGGGACATTTCTGGACAAGATCTATGACCCTGGGCTTAAAGTAGTTCCTCTGCAAAGTCTTCTCCTTACTCTCCTGGCGTATAGCTATTGAGGCTAGAAAAACTCATGAAGGCTAGAAAGAAGAGCCAGAAAAACACAATCAAGGAGACATTTCAGAGGAAAGAATACATTTCAATAGCACTGTACACTGTAGCACTGTCTTCTCATTGTTCAGCAATTTGCTCTAGCGAACACTAGTAACGTCTCCATTGTGAGACTTGTTGTTACTGTTTTTGGCATATCAAATACACCAAGGGGAGCTTGCCAGGCTCTGCCATGCAGGTGGGATACTCTCGGTAGCTTGCTGGGCTCTCTGAGAGGGACAGAGGAATCGAACCCGGGTCTAATGCATGCAAGGCAAATGCCCTACCCACTGTGTTATCCCTCCAACCCAATATTTTAATAGTTAATAAAATTAATATTTGATTAGCTATTGAATTAATAATATTAATTTTAAATATTAAAAGTAATAATATTAAAATTATTGTTGTTATTATTAATATTATTAGGAGGTTATCTGTGCCAGACAACTTAAATCTCTAAGAATATTTGCCAAAACAAATTGTGCAAAAGAATAATTTTATTAGTTTATGAGAAGGGGGTGGTTCTGGGGTTTGCCCTGCTGTGCTCAGGGCTTACTCCTGACTCTGTGCTCAGGGATGACTCCTCAGAGTGCACAGTATATGGGGTCACCATGGATGGATCTAACCCTGGTTGGTTGTGTGCTCAACAAGATCTTAAACCCCTCTACTATCTATCTCTCAGACCCCCAAAGAAATATTTTATTTTGTTTGGTTTTGGGGGTGCACCTGGCTGTGCTCAGCTCTTACTGCTGACTCTGTGCTCAGGGATCACTCACTCTTTGGCAGATCGACCACATGGGGTACCAGGGATCAAGGCCAGGTCAGCCACTTGCAATGCAAGTAGCCTACCAACTGTACTATCATTCTGGCCCCCATTTTAAGTAAATTACAATAGCACATCATTAAAAAGGCTCTCTCAGGCAGAACACATAGCTATACAATTCCCAAATGTAAAAAACTTAGTATAAACTCCTTAGTTTTGTATTGTCTTGGCTGGAAACTCACTTTACTTCTTTATTATTATATTTCATTTCTGGAATGACTGGGCCTCAGGTACCCTCCTTTTCTTCCTCCCTCCTTCCCCCTCTCTCTCTTTCTCTCTCTCCTTCTCTCTCTTTCTTTCTTTCTCTCTCATTTTTTAAAGCTCATTATTGGTGACAGGTTTTACACTGTTGAAAGGGGAATTAACAAATACAGAAAGGATGAAAAAAGAATCTATTCTGTGGTGTTGCATTGGAATTAGAATTAGATGGGCATGAAGCAGAGAGAGCTCAGTGCTGGAAGGGGTGCTGTTTCACACAGAATGGTCCACAAAGATTCTTTGGCTTCACCAAAAGTTGAAATTAGGGGTCAGGGTGGTGAGAAGAAGCTAGATCTGGACTGTATTCTATAGAGAGCCTTCAGGCCTTTTGAAAAGAGCAGATTCAGATAAGGAAGGAATGACATCAGAGTTTCAGCTTGAGGATCTGGTTCATGGTGGTGCCTTTTACTAAGCAGCATACTGAGAGGTATTTGGGAAAGGAAGAATGAGATAGGATTCCTATTGGATGTCCAGGAGAAGCACACATTTGGAGCATCAGCGTACTGATGGTATTTAGAGCCCTTGGAAGGAATGAATTAAGACGTGCAGACAGGAAGATAAGAGTAAGTCAGCATTCTGAGGTCTGTGACATGCACAGGTCAGAAGGACCAGAAGGAGACAGCAGGAGACTAGGGTTGAATATGAAGCAAACTTAACTCTTAGGGAGTCACAGAAGGAACTGAAGAAAGTGTTCCAAAGGATTCTGGGTTAAAATTGTGTGTGAACAGACCCACTGAATTTCATTCCTTCTCAAAGAAGACTAGAGTTACACAGAGTGTTTGTTTTTATACCTGCAACATCAGGGGAAAATAGTATAACTGAAGCAGGGGAGGGGAAAGTGAAGGACCAATAACACATGCCACAGAATCCTTAAAACACTCAGGAATGAGCAACCAAGATTTCTATGAAAATAGCAAAGTAAGAGGAGTGTGGAAAACCCCTGTCAAAGCTATCAATCCTCAGATTGGCTCCCTCACTGTGTTCCTATAGGAAGCATTCTTCCATGTACCTAGCAGGAAACTGGAATTTTGTTTTCTGAAGAGGATGAAATAAGGACTCTTTGGACACTTTTCCAAAAACAGGAGATTAAATGATGGCATACACACAAACTGTTGAATGCACAAGCTCTTGGTGTCTTCACTAGGAACTGTAAAAGCTGGTAGTCAGACTTCACTCTCCAAGACCAAAAAAAGGCCAATTAAGGAAGTCTGTAAGAATGGAAATGATAGAACATAAGGAGAAATTTTGGAGAACGCATTAATATTCTCAGAGAGAAAAAAAGGAAAGTTACCCCTATGACATAAGAGCCTGATGCAATAATAAAACAAAAGGATAAGTCAAAGTCCAAAATCCAACACCCAAGTAATAGAAGCTCCAGAAAAAGAAAATAGAGGAAACTGAGTATATAAAATCACTAGAAAGTCAAATTTTTTTCCTGAAAATGAGCCCACCAAGTTCCAGCATAACAAAAAAATCAAGGGGGTAAGGGGTGGAGGGTGCAACTGAGACACCGGGACAATGGTGGAGGGAAGGGGACACTTTGGTGAGGGGTATGGTGCTGGAATATTTCATTTATGACACCCTATTAGTAATAGTTTTATAAAGCAGGGTGCCTAAAATAATTGTTAAATTTAAAAGAATCAAGTTCAGGGTTGAAGAAATAATACAGCAGTTAGAGTACAATATATCGCTGACCTAGTTCAATCCTCCGTACTCCATTTGGTCCCCTAAGCTCCATCAGGAGTGATCCCTAAGCTAAGAGAAGTAAGCCCTAAGCACACTGCTGGGTTCTCTCAAAACACAAAGGGTAAAAAATGACATGGTATAGTCCCAACCATTTGCTATTTACATCCCATTTCCTGAGTGTGAGGCTAAGATACCTTCCCCTCTCCTCAAACACACACACACACACACATACACACACACACACACACAAAATCAAGGCCCATAATTTTCACAATTCAAAATAGTATAAACAACTCAACTTATTTTGGGAATCATTTTGTAAAATAGATGCATATCAAATCAGTAAATAGTACACTTAAAGCCAATATAATGCTTTATGTCAGTTACACATCAATTTAAAACACACATACAACACACACACACACACACATTCATACTTATACCCAAAGAAAGAATTAGTCAAGTGTGTGGCTGAACACATTCTTTAAACAGGCATGGACAAGGCCTTATCCATGGCTCCCCTCCCTGCTCCACTTTCTGTCACTCATAAGTTGTTTCTTTTACTTTTTTCCCCTCAGGAAGCCCCTGGAGGAAGGATATACACCACAAAAAAGGGAGTAAAATATGAAAGAAGATTTCACGAGAAAGATAACTGGAGCACTGGGAGAAGAGGGAAGCAATGCAAGCGTCTAGGAGACAGTGCAGAGATGACGATGTGATAGCCACATTCTAGGCACCTCAAGGAACCCATGGAGTTTGGAGTTTGTGACTCAGCAGCCAGGAATG